CAAAAAAGATTGCATATTTTACATATTACCTTCGATCTTCGATCATTCAATCTAATGATAATTATAGTAATATAAAATAGACTTTGCCAACAGAACGAGATGTACGACCTGCACCTCTCAGTTTGCCCCACTCTGTCAGATGTCCGCAGTACTTCTGTTTTTTTTTTTTTTTGTTTTGTTTTTTTTCTGACCCTCCAGAAACTTTAAACACTACTTACAACATACATCTATGAATGTATATATACATTATTCCTTGACCTTTGCTTACCCAAGGGTATTTTAAGGTAAATGACAGTTTATGCCGTAAGCATAGGATACTTTCTGTGGCCTTAGGCCTTAATTTCATCACCGGGCGTGGAGGGACCGCCCTGCTTTATTCATAAAGGATAGGGATGAGGATATAATTACATATTTACAATTATATATTTACACTATGTACAAATGTGAGGGTTCAGACTGCCGCGTCCAGACCCCCTCCTTCGTCAAGGACATCTACCAGAGGGACTTTGCCTTGCCACCTTCCAGGCCTGGGCGGTGGGGCGATTTCTTGGAATAATGGATTTGCACAGGCCTTAAGCCCATCAAAAAATTTGATATGCCTCCGGCCAATGAATTCCGGGACCGAGGGTAGTTGGAGCTCCTGGTAGATGTCTCTGTTCCTGGATCGCTGAAGATGGGTACCTCTGACTATTCGCCGAAGGACGGAGTTTTGGAATCCCTGCAGTCTCTGGAGTGTCGTCAGGTAAAGGTGTCGGAGAAGCAGTGCACCATAGAGCAGCGTAGGTCTGATGACCGCCTTGTATATCTGAAGTTTTAGTCTCAGCGAGAGCTGCGGCGACTTCAGCAGGTGGTAGGCAGTACTTCTGATGCGATCGGAACAAATTTAAACAAAGGATTCATGGCGGAGTTGTATTGGGCTGCCAGGAGCCGAATGGCCTAATAGCCAACGGCAGAGGCGTTTAATAAAAAAAAAAAAAAAATTAATATAAAATATTTTTATGAACATCTCATATTTGTTACGATCTACGTCATGTCATCATGAAATAATAGGTGAATGCAGTTATAAGTGTGTTCCGGTTGTTTCGCGTGTTGTTTTCCAATAACGGTAGCGTCACAGGTTCCTAACTTCAGCGGAAGGAGCGTTCTAAACAATTTCAGGATCGTCTTGCTGATTCACCCCAGGGAACTTACATATCTGGGTCAGATGGTGGTTTTGTTCTTCTCGTTACCGTGGGATACGGAACGGTGACAAGGAAGTAATCATTCAAGGCTACTCCGCATCCTTTTTAGTGTCGTAAAGTATCATCTTGGAAAAAAATAAAACATTAATGTCATTAGATATTCTGAATGGTTTCTTTTCTAACACTTTAATTTCAATGGCATAAAGCTCATCCACTCTTTAACAGCTCAGCTTTCACCACAGGTGGATCTACTGGGAGGGGATTGCTTTCTGGCTGAAACCCTCCCCCCTCAAACTGTTAAAATATAACCATGTTTTATAGAAAAAGATATTAAAAACTATCTCTTACAGTATTATTGGGTGATAAATATTCAGGTTGCAGTCATTTAGAGAAAAAAAATATTTTTTATTTGTGCCAACGTTTCAACCCAAACATGTGGTTCATCTTCAGGACTGAAAATTTTAAAATACAATCAGAGATATAATATTATAGGACCAATAATGGTAAATAATAAACTATAGTGATTTGATGGTTCACGAATCTTAACTATTATTACAATACACAAATTTTTTTTTTTTTTAAACTTTTATTATGATATTTACAACTGTATTAGTATGAATACATCAAGTAAATGTGTACAGAGAAATATTATCACATGAAACACGCTTGTTGAGAAACTACCCACTGGTAGCACTCTATATACACTATATTAAAAATGAAATATGTTAAAAGTTATACAAACTAAAAATAATACATATATATTATATTTATAAAAATTTGTAATATTTTCTCTTACTGCCTGTATATTTATCACCCATGATATGTAGAACAGTCGACTAGCTTCCTTCAATAATTCGTTAAAGTATTATTGTTTGTGTAATTACATTTAATAGGACTTTGAGAATCACTTAAACACCATTTCATGTAGGTAGTTAATTTCTTTCTTTTTTTTTCAAATTAATTATTGTTGTATATATGAAAAAATAATTTTTGGGGCTGAAGGCCTCCCAAAATTAAATCCTAGATCCGTTAGTAGCTTTTAACTGGGCAAGGTATACATGTAAGTGTATTAAACTTCACCATCATTATTAGTTTTCTTGTAAGCTATATTATTTTTATTTTGTTACTGTCTTTTTTTTTTTTATTCTATTTCTATTATTTTCTTTGTTTTTTGTTAACATTTATTTTCTTTTATACATTTTGATTGACTAATCTTAAATCCAAAACCCCTGTTTCTGTAATACAATGTACAAAGTATGCTAATTGCATGGGATGTGTAAAATTTTAAAAATTGACGTTTCCAATGAGTTTCTATACTATGAAAAAGAAGGAAAGTATAATAAATGAATAATGGATAAAAAAAAAAGACACTACCTCAACAAACCAATCCTCTCTATTGAAGAGAAAACTTCGATGTTTATCTATACACACATTCTTAATTGAATTAGGAGCTACTCCTGTAACCAAAAGGTTGTCTGCACCTCTCAAGGAGAATCAATTCTATAGCTTTTATCCAAAGGTAATACCACCAGAAAATCAAAAACTATCAGGGGTTGGCCGAATTGTATATCTGTAATTTACATTTGAAACGCTCCAGATCAATTAACCCAAATTTAAAATTAATCAATTCAAACAGATCAATTAATTAATTTAAAATTAAAAATTAATCCAAGATAATTTCTGACAAAATTAAAAAAAAAGGACAAAAACTTGAATGAAATACATTTTACAATGAACGATAAACTTCAAAAATCTAAATAGCTGTGATAAGAAGCAGTATGTTCTATAATATATCAGATTTAAATTTATTGTCAACAATATTTACAATTTCATTCTATGGTAAAATAAATATTAGAAAATATACAGAATACATGTGCCAGCAGTTTTATGTATTTTTAGGCACTAATCAGTGCCGGCCTTAGAGTGGAGCAGCTAGGGCAATTGCCCCGGGGTGCTGGGGGGTCCTGATCCCAGGGTCGCCCCATGGCTGATGAAACGGAATAAATGATTTTTCTCCATGAGCCGGGGTTCGAACCTGGGACCTCAAGTATTTAAGATCATTCCCCTACCACTGAGCTACCCCACTCCCTTAAGAAATAAAAAAAATTATTTTAGAGGCAATATATCATTACCCATTGGCTCCAAATGTCTAAGGCCGGCTCTGGTACTAATAGGTAAAAACTGTAGATCCTGTATTTTACTATGATGCCACACAAATTTAGTACTTATCTAAAACCCAGAAAGGCTTATTGCTATGACCTATTTCTGTCTTTGTTAAAGATTAGGGTTGGTTGGCAGGGAGTTTACAAAAATAGATGTTCTAATAACATTTTTTTTTTTTTTGATGAAGCAGACCAATATTATTTTTTAATAAGTATCTCTGTTAATATAAATAATTTCATTTTATTTTAATCTCATTCCTTTAGTATCGTATGAGAGGTAAGGTAAAATTTTCTTAATATTAAAACTTTAATTATTATTCTTTTTTTTTTTTTAACATTTATTTTTCCATTCACTTTTACTTTATTAAACAATAAATGTGTGAAATTTTAAAAATATAGTGAAAATTTGGTATACTTATCTAATTAAATATACTAATTTGCATTATAATGATTTAAATTTTGCGTCTATACATGAATATTACAATCTATAATTTACAATGAAGGCGTAGATTCATTTATGACACACAAATATTAATAATAGTTTTTTATTAAATATGTACATTTGTTAAGCTAATGATGGTATCCCTACAGCTTTAGCGTTCCTGCACAGCCAAGGCTTGCACCAGAGCCCACAACAGCCTGACGCAGAAGAGAGTCAGCAAGACTTCTTGTGGAACCTACCACCATCCCGACCTCCGCCTCATTATTTCCCACCCATTCCACCCATACCTCATTATCCTTATCGACCGTCTACTCCTTATCCATCTGTTCGCCCCTATCCACAACCACCACCTCAGACATTCCATGAGCCGCAATTCAGGGGTAATTCATTCTAAGATCAAATTTTCAGCACATGGGTCATCTTTCACTTTCACACTATACTTCTCTGTCTATTTTTCACCACACTTCACACACTTCTTTTTACTTAACATGAATTATGAATTTATACAATATTCAAAATCGGTAATGATAAATATTGCGTTTCTTTTTCTTGAGAGATGGTTAATAGTTTGAAAACAAACCTAAAAATCAGTGTCTGTAATTTAATGCTAATAGAATATTTATTGATTTCCTACATTTCATCGTTCTATTTTTGTTTTGTTTTTACTAAATAAAACAAATTTGTAGTTGATTTATAAATACTTTTTTTAATTATCTTAACATTTTCTTCTATAAAAAAAATTCAGTTGTAAAACTTGCTACACCTCAGAATAATAAATTTAAACACATAAAAAACAGAAAAATATCAAAAAAACAAGAATTGATTACTTCATTCTTGTAAAATATTCTATTTAGCTATAACATTAAATAAATGGTTAAAATATGTGTATTGAATTCTATTCAGACATTAGGCTTACTTTATTTAAATTTCAGTTTAGTATTGGTCTTTAATGTTATTTGGAAGAGGCCAACATACTTCTTAGCAGTTTTCTCCTTAATGCACTCCCATTGATATTTCTTTTTCTTTATTATTATAATTTTTTTAATTTCAAAAATAGAACTCAAATTGTAATCTGAGTTTCACAGTTTGGAAAAAATCAGTAATGAATGGTATGAATTGATTCTGCTTGGAGGGAACAAAAGGGGCATGTGGAGTGTATGATATTATTCCTAAGCTTTTAAGGTAATTTTTATAAGAGTATGGTTTATGTTTCAGGATGTGGAGAGATTTACTCCAGGAGTCACAGAATAGTTGGAGGCCACAGCTCAACATTCGGTTCTCATCCATGGCAGGTATGAAGTTGGAAGTCGTATATATATGAGGAAGTCGTCCTCTTGTAATTAATTGATTTGTATTATCTTAGATAAAATGAATACAATTTATTCATGGGCTTAAAAGCATTTAGTTGTACTTAACTTTAAGATTTATTCTTTATATCAATAATTCTTTGTTATCAATTTATTCTTAATATATAATCTTTAAAGAAAACCAATTCTCAGTACACCATATGTGTAAAAATTCTTCTTGGATTTTTCAATACCGATTTTTTGTCTCTGAAAATCTTAGCCAATTTATTATTGTTAACAGCTCCGCAAGAAGTGGAAACCGGTGAGAATGAATCATATTATAGAAATTTTAACTTTACTTTAAAAAAACACACACATGAAGATGTCTAAAAATATTTATTCATTTAATTCTTTTCTATATTCTCTATTTATAATATATATCTTATTATTATTTTTAAATAATAATTTAATGACAATTATTGTAGATAATAATTGTGATTTTATTTAATTTCTGGTGGAAAATTCTCCATTAATGGTTCCATCATCAGTTCCATCATCATGTTGATCTCTTCTTGCTTTAGTTAAAGTAAAACCCTAAAAACAATAACCATTTCTCTATCAATATTCTGATAAGGTTTAAATATTATTTTTAGATGGTTTCTTTTATTTTATCTTTTCTAGGCCGCTATTATAAAGTCAGGATTCCTGACTAAGAAGCTATCATGTGGAGGAGCTCTACTAAACAACCGATGGGTTGTTACTGCAGCACATTGCGTTGCCACGTAATTATAAATAATAAATAACATTTATTCGGTGTGAGAGCATTGAATTTTTTTTTTGTCGCTGATAATTTTTAACTAATGAAACTTTTACTTTGAAAAATAACTATATTTGCTTATTTTCACTTTTAATTTTTCCATAATCACACTTCAGAATTTTTTTAAAACAAGATTTTTGAGAAACCATGATGTTTCTCCAAATATCATTTTCATTACTCCTATGCATTTTCATTACAACTTATAAAAAACAACATTTATTACAAATTTGTAATATATTATTATGGAGTATTTTTTAATCAATGATATTGATAGATTTTATATTTTTTCAATTAAGAGCTAAATAAAACTTTCATAATTTTTTTAAGATATTGCATGACTCAAACCCCAAGTTTCTCTTGTCATACATCAATTACTAATCTGTCAACGTTACTGCAAAATTCTAAAAAAATTATACAGTGAGGCTTATGTTCAGTAGTTTTCAAAATTAAAAAAAATACATTTGTCTTCAGTTTGTTTTACAATAATTTAATTATTTTTCTCTTAAATTTATTAATATAATTTTTCATAAATGTTAGAATTAAGCGAGTTTCTTCTTTGAAATGTATAAAATATTCATGTGTGACTTGTTTCTTATTTCATGTATAATACTCTATAAGTTTTCTTATTGCAATATATTTCACTATGTTCATAAACGCTAATGGACTCATTAGAATATGTTGCAGTAAGTTAGCCTTTTACCACGATTGATACTGAGACTTAGGTTTGTCGAAGGACTTCAAACAACAACCTGAAGGTACGACTAGGCGAATGGGACGTCCGGGAGCAGAATGAGCGCTTAGTTCATGAAGAGTACTCAGTTGAAAGGAAAGAAGTACATCCGCAGTATAGTCCAACAGATTTTCGCAATGATCTTGCACTAGTCAAAATAGATAAACCAGTAAGTATCCTGTGTACTAAATTATTTTTTAACAAAATTAATACTTATTCAATTTAAAAAGTTATTTCCCCAGATTAATATTATTTTCAAGATTTGTAAGAAGTTTTAAGTTATTTTCCTGTAATTAATTACTTTTTATCACTCTTATGATTACATGATTACATTACAGATTACATAGTTCTGATATAAGGCACAGTTCTTTTGTATATTAATCTGAGATATTTATTTCCTGAGTTATAAATATGTTTAAAACGAATAAATTCAGAATGACTGTGATTCAAGAAATAATATTGTAAGATTCATATCTGCTATTGAATGAAATAAAATACTTATATTATATTTCAGGTACTTTTCAAGCAACATATTCTTCCAGTATGTCTCCCTGACCCTAATATAAAGTTGGTTGGTAAAACAGCAACTGTTGCCGGCTGGGGGCGAACAAGACATGGTGAATAAATTTAGACATTATGGTTCGAAAATAAAGTTGTATACATCCATCAACTACCCAGTCATTTCATTACCATCTAGTAGCCCATATCAGTTTCTTTTACTCAAAAAAATCTTTTAAGATCTGTAATAAGTATCCACTAATCAACTTCTGTGATATAGCAATTTTTTATTACATTTTTTACTTTATTTTCAAAAATATATATTTTTTTAAATATGACATTAAAACTACTGAACTATGAATGTTACACTATTTTTGTTGATTATTATAGGAGTTGTGACAGTTCCAACTGTACTTCAAGAAGTTGATGTAGAAGTTATTCCTAACGAGAGATGTCAGAGATGGTTTCGAGCTGCAGGTCGAAGAGAAACTATACACGATGTCTTTTTATGTGCAGGATTCAAAGAAGGAGGGCGTGATTCTTGTCAGGTAATTTCTAGTACACTTTGAAAAAAGTTAATAGCTATGCAACTATTGATAAAACACAAATTTAGTAAATATATTTAAAGAACTTAATTTTTTATTAAGGTACAATATTCTTTTAAAATCCATTTCCTCCAGTGATATATTGACATTCATTCAATTTTATTCTATCATTAATGCTATGAAAAGTTTAAAAAAGAAGTTTAAATATTATTTGTTTGCTTTTAAAAAAGGTATGTTAAAAAAGAAATAAACAGTAATTTGGCTTAGATTAGTGTTATAATGTATCTGAAATAAAGAAATTGATTCTAAAATGTTGTTTGTTTCTGTAGCTAAGATTAAAAGTCTTTTTTTAGATAAACTTTTTTGTGGAGTCAACAGAACTTTTAAATAAAAGTTTTTCAAAAATAAAGTTCTGTGAAACCTTTATTTGAAAACGTTTAGGGAAAAGTTCTAGTTCCGTAAGAACAGAAAAAAATATATTAAAATAAAGATTTCAGTCATACTGAAATTGACTAAAAATAAAAATCTCATTTCAAGCCCTGATGTAAAATAATATTTCATGGTTATAAATTTTCAAGAACCGTAAGATAAACAGAAAAAATATCTTTATAAATTAGGAGCATTGTATACCTCAAGAAGTTATTCTGGAACTATATTGATTTCTGTAATTCTTTCCTTGCTTGTACAAAAATTAAAATTTGTTTATTTATTAATGCCAAAATCTTATGTTTCTCAGGGTGATTCTGGTGGACCATTAACAACTACCATAGATGGAAGAAAAGTTCTTATTGGATTGGTCTCCTGGGGCATTGGCTGTGGAAGGGAACATCTCCCTGGAGTCTACACCAACATACAGAAGTTTGTTCAATGGATAGAGAAAGTAATGGCATGATTTTACGTCATTTACCATGAGTAAGGATTTTGCGAAGAGTAATGGTACTTGTAATTTTCTTTTCATACCAATTCAATTTCATATCAGTCTTTAGCAATAGTCGAAGAAAACTTTATAATACTTACCCACTTATTATACAAATAATTTCTCACTTTTCTAGATGATCTCTTTATCACCAGTCATTAACAGAATCCTTAATCATTAATGTACAGTAAAAAATTATTTGTTATTGTATTTATTATTATAGGCTGTGAATACTGCATAAATATTTTATTTATCGATTTGCAAAAGATGCTTAGTGTTAATTAATTCATTGTAGTTGGAGTTACAAAAAAAGATGAGTAGTTCTTTGGGTGTCCTTACCAAACATATAGGTATAATTAATTTTATTACCAACTCTGTAAAAATTCCCTTACTCTATTTAGTTGCCTTTCTTTTGAGGCTACTGTAACATTGTTATAAATGTTATAAGTTAGTAAAATAATAATGTGAGATGATGTGTATTTCATGTCATACAATTAAAAAAAAATGTATGTTTATTTAAGTAGTAGTACATTTGTACAATTTGTTGTTTAAATTATTTCTTTTTAAAGTAAGCTAAAATCTTACAAATGATATTTAAATTCCACATTTTTTAAGTTGTTGGGCTTAAAATTGTAGACATTTTTACTATTTTACCTCAATGATACTCGATAATATCATTTGATTTATTAAAACTTATTAAGTTTAACTATTAATTTATAAGATTTTTATTATGTACAAATTAAAAATTGAGGCAAGTTAAAATAAAATTAATGAGCGATGAGTTCAGGATATTTACTGTATTTATTCTATACATGGCATGACCATAGCATTCAGCAAATAATTTTTTTTAATGTTTCGATGTGTATATAGATGCAAACCAATATATTAAAATTTAGGCCATACTTGTAATTTTTTTAAAATGTATGCCAAACATATTGAAATATTAGACCAAAAAAAAAAAAATTAGATGTTTGAACTAAATTATTATATAATAAAATCACTGATTATGTACATTCAATTAAATTACAAAATTAACTGTCAAAATCATACATTGCTACAATATTTTGTAGCAATGGATGATATTGACAATTAATTTTTTCATCTTGCTAAACATCTTAACAGATGTAAACTATATCCATTGGGATTTATGTGCATTGCTTATTGTTTAAGGTTATAATAAAATTTTATTTACACTATCATAAAAGGAAAATGCCAAGTTAAAATGCAAGTTTTAATTTAAAAATAACAAAAAAAACTAATCAAATATCCCGGCAATAATTAATTTAAGACTATTTTATTCTTCATAATTCCTTTTATTAACAGAAATTCTCGATTACCATCCAATAACAATGATTAGTATAATTTTAATAAACCAGAATATTTGAGAAAATTAATTGTAATAAAATAAAGCCTTAAAAATATCTGCCAAGAAAAAGCAATATGACTTTTCAGTCGAAATGTAATTAATTAATGTAATGTAATTAAATATAAAAATATGTAGTACTACATGTTGTTTTTTGAAAATCCAATGTTAGATTCTTAAAATTAATGTTTGTATCCTATGAATTGCTAATGTATCAAGTATCAAGTACTGATAATAGCTTGACGTTAGGGGCTATGGTGACTCCATTAACTTCTTCATTTTTACTGTATAACATAAAATTATTTCTGAACTCTATTTCACCTGAACAATCTGATGTTTACATATATCAATTTAACGGCTTTTTATCTTGCCTCAATATACCTTCAATACTTGTATATAGTGATAATCTTAATATGTAATATTTTGGATTCAACACATTGTAAATACATAACATATCCTACCAAAGAAATATTTTTATATTTATTTTTTATATTTGTAAAGTATTTATAATAATTAGAATCAAATTTAATGTACTGTTTTTCAATTTACTTAATAAAGGCCAATATAAAAAATACAACACGCTATGAATTGATCCATCAACCATTTTAATTTTTAAGAAGCATTTTTCCAAAGGTTCAAGGTTTTGTCATTGTGCATGCCGGTGTCGAGTTGGCGAATGAGTCTCAAACTTCCAATGAACCCTTTCAGATAGAACCACTTAGCTATGAAGAATTTTATATTATCTGCAGTATACAATTATAACTTCTCTTAAGAAAAGGAAGCTAGTGTACACCAGTGTCGCTCATCCCCCATGGTCATGGCACATGAACCTTAACACTCCCTCCCCTTAAGATACTTTACTGCTCTCCTCTTCTTAAAAACAGAGCAAGTGAAAGTATTATTTAAAAAATCTTGGATCATATATAATTACCCTTGTTGCAGTCTGTTCCATGTTTTCCCTAGACCTCTGTTTGAAACTTCTCTTTCAGAAAATTCATAAACCTCTCAAATATGCCTTCTACAAAAGTTCAAAACCTCCCAAAATTTTGATAGTGCAACTTGCACCATGGAATCCCCTTAAAGGCTTCCCTGAGTGTACTTATATTAGATTACCTTTACTAAAGTCGAACTAGTTTTATGTCTTGTTGAATTGCATAACATCAATAAACACTAAAGTAATTGTTCCATAACTTTGTACATAACCATTAAGACACCCTAAGAAAATTTGTTATGATTCCCCTCACTCCATCATATCAGTTCAGGCATTAGAACTTGAACAAGGATAAAATATTATGAAATTTTAAACTTACAACCTAGTTATTGTGATTTATTATTGGCATATCACCAAATAACAGTTACATATCATGTTACAGAATTATTTCACTAATAACATTTTTTACAATGATTTCTCTAGTTTATTGTTCTATGAAGAGACATTAAGTTTTCTTTTTTTCTTTTTTTTTTTTTAGATAACCACACGCTATATTTTAGTTCAATTTTTATTTTTATAATATTTTTTTTTTAGTTTCATGCATAACAGTAACAAGTTATTTCAGAGTTTACCAGCAAAATAAGTCTGTAAAATTCAAGCATTTATAACCTATATAGTACATGGTACTTTTTTTTATCAAATTGTTAACATCCCTTGAAACTTCGTAAATAGCTTAATCTTATCATAATCTACAAACATTTTATTTACGAAAATTCTCTGAATGGGGGCGTTTTCAATTTGGAGGTCAGCAAACTTTGTCTATTTAATTAAGTACTAAAAACTTGTAAATACCCATTTACTTTCCACTTGAATCGTAAGATAACTTGAGCACAAATTAGAGAAAAAAGGTGGGCATCAAAAATATTGAGCCATTTGGCGTGACCTACACCTCCAAATTGTCAAAATAACGAGGTTATATAGACCAAACAGCCCAATATTTTTGTAGACCACCTTTTTTATCGATTTTGTGATCAAATTACCTTACAATCCAAGTGGGAAGCAAACGGGTATTTACGAGTTTTTAGTACCTAATTAAATAGACAAAGTTTGCCAACCTCCAAATTGAAAACGCCCCAACTCCGAAAATTTAAATAATTTGATAAAAAAAAAGGGCCTGTACCACCAACTATTAGATTCCATGACTAAATTCTCCTATTTTGCAGCCAAATCTAATGGATCTTATCAGTAATAATAATTAACAGGAGTAGGATTGAAAAAAAAAATTAGCTGAAAAAAAAAACTGATTAGCTAACACCCATTATTACCTGATGAGCCAAATTTATTTAAGTTTTTAACACATAATATGCATTAAAAATGTACAATAACATCTATTGTTTTTTTTTTTTTAGTTACAAAGCTCAGATTAAGTTGTTTAAGCATTTTAGAATAACTAAATAAATGTATATTTTTAGAATTTGAAATATTACTTAATGTCACTAATAGTAAAACATTATTAATAAATAATGTCTCAAAATAATTCACACACCTCAAATGCATCACTACTACTATTTCTACAAACATCTCTTTTTTATGTTTTGTTTACATAATTAAGGACAACAGTTTTTATTAATAAATAAGAACATTGGAAATACCTAGTCAATCCATGCAAGATTTGGTGTCTTCTCTGCAAACTTTATGGATTGTACTATATTCATCACATGGCCACCAATTTGGTCTTTTTCATTTTTTGGTTTTGCTGTTTTTTCTCTTGCATATCTTTCCAAGTATGATTCATGCCCTAAAAGAAACAAGCTTAAATCTGATCATATAATGAATAATAAGGAGGATCATTTCTAAAATAGAATCCAAAATAAGGCTTTCTTAATTGGATAGCATTTATGTATAAATACTAATGTGTGAGTTATAATCAAGCTTATATTTCGCTCTTTTAGAATTATAAAACCATTAAATAAATAAATCAAAGGCTGAGAAGTGTTTTTAATGTCAGCAAAATTATTACCTCAGTGGAGGAACAATAATACAATTTATCTAAACATATTTCAAGTTTTGTGTATTTTTCATTAAAAAATACAATTCTTTTAAAGTAATATACTATAGTTAATAACACAGGTGGATCTACGGGAGGAAGGGAGGGGGTTTTCGAAACCACGTTTTATGGAAAAAAATATTAAAAATTATCTCTTAATGTATTATTGTTCGTATAATTACATTTAATCAGACTTCAAGAATCACTTAAACACCATTTCATATAGGTAGTTAGTATCTTTCTTTTTTTTCCAAAGTAATTATATATATTATATATATATATATATATATATATATATATATATATATATATATATATATATATATAACTAAGAAACATGGATATCAGTTTATCAACTGTTCTACATATCACAGCATATCATTGGCGATAATGATATTTCTTTTTTATTATTATGCAGGTTTGACCTTTGTTCTTTTTATACTGATTCATTTGCCTATTGATAAGAAATAAATTAATCAAAATTGGTGCAAAATTGCAAATTTTGAACCTTTAGAGGAAAGATTTGTACCTTCTTCAACAATCTAAAATGTTACAATAAATAAATATAAAGGTGTCTTTTATCAAAAGGCAACGTTTCGGCCCAACTTTTCAGGTCTTCTTCAGGGAGGTGTGTTCAGCTAGGAGTTTCACTTAGAACACTTAGAAACTTTGGCTTTTAATAAAATAGTTTTGCCACTATTTAGACTATTTATGACCGCCACCCCATTACTATGACCCCAAGACGATCTCCTTCCTCTATAATGCAACGGTCAACTATTAAATATTAAATAAATAAATATTTTTAGATTCAGTCATGAATCCAGCATTAAATACTTAAGTAGTTAAATACCTACGATCCTGATTTGTTTCTTTAGTCCCTTTATGTAAGTACCATTGACAGATCGTTGTGACACCCAATCTCTTGGTTGAATAATGTTTAAGTTTATATTGTTTTTAGCAGTGTTGTATAAAGGAATTATTACATTTATTTTTTAAATATTCGTTTTATGGAGGGAGACGAAGCTTTCCTCAAAATGATCATATAAATTTGCTACCAAAGACTAATTTTGATTAATTTATTTCTGACCAATAGACAAATGAATCATGATATTTCTTTTGTTGATTATTTATTAAGAATAAATCTAGGTATCATTTTTGTTAAAACCAATAGTGTTAGATGATCTCAGAATATTAACAGTGTATGATGAGGATGATGAAACAAAGAAGAAGAAAATGGCTGGATACTTTTGATTTATCTAGTTGAATGAAATATCTATGCTCTTTATAAATAGTTTAACAATAACGTTGTTATAATAAGAAACTAATGAAAATTCTTTTAATGTATTAAAATTCATGGGGATTCCATGCCAACATCAACATTTTTAAGTGAGCACATTTTTAAAGGGTTATGTTTTTTGGATGGTGGCAAATATTAATAGTGTTATGAATTTTTGGAAGGGGCCACATTTTTATAAATTTTCAATTGAAGAGTACTTTCAAAACAAAGAACAAAGGAAAACGTTTTTCTTTCTTTAGGAGAGAAGAGAAATAAATTTTATTGGGAGGGGGAGCATCGTCTGTCGATCTTGGAGGAATGCAAATAAAGAACATTCAAATAATTAATAAAAATATAAATATCCTAACCATTAACTACCATTGATTTAAATTAAAAATATAATTTCGATGCTGATAGCTGTTTTTCCCGCTATTATTTACCCGCTTTTGATTTCTCGCGTACCTTAACTGTCGAAAAACAGCTGCAGTCAGTTCAGCAACAGAGTGGAATTACTTCGTCTCCATCGTGATGCACAGATCATTATTTTTTATTATCATTCTCATTTTCTCTTCATGGTAAGTGTTAGAAACTATATATTTTTTTTTTTCATTGTTAGAGCACATGGAATAGTTTCTATATCATCGGTTTATTGCAAAAAGTCATTAAATGAGATTTCATAACATCAAATCACTTTAATGAATCGAAACGCTGTACAATTATACTAATATACGCTAGAGTTCTTGGCATTTTGTTTCACTTAATGTATTTTTTTTTTCGAAAAATAAGATTGTAGTTCACAAACATGTTCTTAAAAGTTCATCTCCGTCAAAAATGTAGTTAATGAGTTTTTGCAAAAAACAGACCCAAGAATTAAATAGGATAGAGGATTTGTAAAAGTAAAGTTAAGAAAAACAGGAAAATGCTTTAATATTCTCTTTATCTTTATCTATTGAGATTTTATTTAATTTCAAGTACCCCTTGCAATTATGGAAGTAAAAATAATAGTAGCTAAGTATTCAGTGGTTTATTTTTTCACAAAAATTATATAATTTTTTTTTTATGAATTGACATCCTTGACCTTTTTTTATTATGTTTTATCTCTCTTACACAAATGTGCCCACAGATCAGTTCTTTTTAAGATTAAACATGGATTATTTTTTTGTTAAAATAATCTTAAATTAAGTAAGTCAACATAACTGTTACCTGGATTACTACCAATTGTCTTAATAAGGGTATAGTCCTGTTTTATGCATCCCATATTTAATAGCGTTCGAATAGCTTTAGAAACTCCTTCATCTGTGTGCCTATGTAGAAAATTGTTTCAATTAATATTAATGCTTGTATTCTCATAATTATATTACATTATTATTATCATAAAAAATACACTTATTAGTATATTTTAAATATTTTACCGAATTAGATGTTCAGATAGGTCTGCACCAAGTAGTTCCTCATGTGGAAGCATGCGAATGGGGACGATTTTATTTATACACTGTATATAAAAAAAAATACAATAATAATTTTAATCAATTTAACTGTAACAAGTTTGGATTCATTAACAATATATTATGTCGAGAAAAAAGTAATTGTTTTGTATTCCAATAGGTGACTTAAGTATCTTGTCTCTTGTAGTCCTTATTCAATGAAGCCATTATATAGTGCGTTTGAAAGGTCACAGACCATAAAATATTCTATATATATAAAAAAGCGTCATTTATTTACTCAGTCAACAGTTATTTTGATACATTACGCTTCAAAAATGTAAGTAATTTTAGTCATATTATGCTGTTTTATTTCCGAAAAGGGGAAAATGTAGCGTAAGCTCTTCGAAAATTGTGTTGTAATTATGATGATGAGTGCTTAAGTGGACGCCAGTGTTAGATTAGGTTTGCTCGGTTTCGTTCCGAAAATTATGATGTTAAAGTTGAACCTCCCCCTGGTTGGCCAATCGTTGAAAAAGTGGATGAATTTCTTAAAAAAATCGAAGTAGATCGACATATTTCATCTCGTGACATCGTTATGAAATTAAACATCGATAAAAATACGTTTAGACAAGGCTGGATACCATAAGAAGCTTCGTTTCGATACTTGGATTCCATACGAATTAACAGTGAAAACTCTAATGGACCTAGTTTCCATTTGTGAATCGCTGCTGAAACGAAACGAAATCGAGCCATTTTTGAAACAAATGATTACAGGTGGTGACTACTGGATCACGTATGGCAATAATATGCGAAACATATGGTGACAAAAGCCCATAGAAGCTTCACAAACAATGGCAAAGCCCGGATTTATGGCAAAGAAAGTGATGCTAAGTGTTATGTTATGGTGGGATTGGAAGGAATTGTTCATCATGAGATACTCGAACCTGGCCAAACCATTAATTCAACTCTCTACTATGAGAGCGAGTGCAATTTCTGTACGATTGAGCAGGCGATTTAGGAACAACTGCCAGAATTGATCAATAGGAAAAGTCATTGTCTTCCATCACGACAACGCTAGACCACCAACTTTTTCTTTTTTTTTTATTATATATTTTAAGGCTTCAACCACTAGGGTCATTATTAACTTATTTTCATTGAGAACTAGATTTTATTTTCAAGTTTAGAACATTTCAGAAAAGAAAATAGTTTATCAATTACATTCGTATTGTCCTGTAAAATGGAGTGTAGATCGTTTGTCAAGTCACAAGAGAGTCTAAATGTTTCGTAAGCTCTGCATTCTGTTAAAATGTGTTTCACTGTTAAAGGAGTCCCACAAGTTTGGCATGTTGGCGACACAAACTTCTTTAATGACCCGATAAATATTGAGAGAGCTTGACTTGGAAGTTTTGATGCCTCCACCGTATAGCCCATTTCTTTCGGTCTCTGCAGAATCTTTCAATGGTATAAAGCTGGCATCAAAAGAGGATTGTGAAAATTACTCGATTCTGTTTCTCGCTCTGAAATCTCAAAACTTCTGAATAAGTGGGAAAAGACCATCGATCAAAACGGCACATATATCATTGGTCAGTGTTTAAAATTCATATAAATAAATTCGCCTTGAAAAACATGAAAAAAAAGAAACCACTTTTTCCTCAACACATTATTTATAATTGTTTTTGAGGAAACAAATTGTCATGATGAAGACGTTACACAACATTCACTAAACACCTTTGTAACCCCAAATCCTAAACAATTTTGAGTGGAAATTAATTTTAAATAAATCAATAATTTTTTAATAAATTGCTATAACTATAATTACAAACAAACGAAAATTGTTATAAGATACAATAATCCTGAATACTAATTAGTTTTGACGTTTCAAGCAGCGAATAAATTCCAGAAATTACACTTAGTTTTCATATAACAAATATTTTCTATTCAATAATATAAAAATATAAGTAATAAATCAATTATTATTTTTCTTTTTTTGTCACTTTCAATCATCTACGATTTTATTTGTTTGATATTATTTTTTGTAAAACTTTTCGAATAATATTAACTTTTAAATTGTTTATAGTTCACGTGTATCCATTTTTTATTGCTATTAACAATAAAAGATGGTTAATTATTCCAAATTAACAAAATTTTATGGCATTAAGACCTATCAAACTATTTCAATCAGGATTAGACTTAAATGCCAATAAATTTTACATTTATATAACGTGTTTAATATATAACAATGAAATAATTGCTAGAGATATTTTTGAGAAAATTGTAAAATATGAAATTGTAAAAATTATCATTTATATGTATATATATCACTATAAACTGGCTGGTTAAGAAAAAGTGTATGTAACCTTCCTTAATATGTAATTTTAATTTCACAAGATTTTTCGTTTTAGAGCTAGCAAGGCTTTTTCAATTTTGCGAGATTTAAGTTTTTGGACCCATGAGACCTTAAAACGTTTATAAAACGTTAACCTTATTTCTATTGAAAACCATAAAATAAATATGGGAATTATGTATACAGTAAAATGAAATTAATAAAAGAATCATATTTTGATGTTTCATATCTGCCTTATAAGCTAACCCTATTATGGATAATCCGCCTTGTGAAAATTACCCGCCATCTTAAAATTTATTGTTTAATTACTATTTTGACAATTCTATTTTTCTTAAACGAAAATAGTAATAATGAGGCAACAGTTTAGATTATTTTCGATTTCGAGATTAATAATAATTCAGGTAGTGAAACGTACCCATAAAATAATGTATGAGGATATGAAGCTATACGTTGCGAGACACAATGCTCCCAGAGCCTGAATTCCCAATAGGTAAGAACCACATCCTGTAACATATATTATTCTCAATTAATCAAATAAATAATTTACATCAATTATTTGATAAATTTATCTAAAGTCCTAAAAGTAGTAATAATCCTGTGGAAAAAAAATTCAAAATCGATCAAATTTTAAGAGATTATAGTTTTTAATTAGGGTTAGTTTATGTACAATGGAATTCAATAGGTTTCTTGAATTTGTTTTTCACAAATAAATGCATAGCATCTTTATTTTAATGGATGTTAAATTAATCAATGACGAAATATAAGATAATCAGCATGCTAATCGTTGACTTACCAGTAACTAGCAGTATTTTATTTAAGACAAACAAACGAACTTAGAAAGCATGATAATTTCGTTATCAAAAGTTGAAAAGTAAGTGAGGATGTAAAATTAATAAATACTTAACCAATTTTTAAACAAATATTCTATCTTACAGACCTTTTAAAACACCACACCGTCCGCTAGTAGTATTTAATGGGTATGGATTTTCAGCAAAAAGACCTACCGCTATAACACCCCATACACCAGAAATTCCTGCAAAAGTAAAATATAAAAAAAGTTTACAATTAAACTAAACTAAATAAATATTTGCATTTACTTATTTTATTTATTTATTTATTTTTATATTACTTACCATGAACGGCTGTAGCGCCCACAGGATCGTCGACTCTGATCATATCGAACAATGGTGTGGATACGGATGTAAGCAGAGCTCCAACGCTTCCAATGATGAAAGCATCAATAGAAGTATACAAGTAGCATCCAGCTTAAATGTAAAGCATATAATTAAATATAAAGTGATTATTTTACTTTTTTTACACTTTCATGAAATATCGAACTTTTTAAAACTAAGCTATTAATACATGCGAACCAAACTCTGGGAATAATTAGAGAAGAGGACAGAGACTGAGTTTTAATAGTGTTTAAAATCATCACCATATACCTGTTACTGAAACAAGTGATCCAAGAACACTGTTGATGATATGGAGTATATTGGTGTGACCGTCACTGATGTAGAGGCTATACGACAGTCCAATCAAACCACCTCCAAAGGATGATATCATCGTCATGACTGCAGCTTTCGCAGCGTACGCCCACTTGGCCCCCGAAACACCATACGTACTAGAAAAATAAATACAATAAACTCTAAACTCTTGTGCAAATTTCTTTACAATCTGTTTTGATTCTGTGGTACCTTACCTTCCGCTGTTGAACGCGAGCCATCCCCACCACAGTACGAAGAGTCCCATGGCACAATTTACCGGAGTCCCCAGTGGTAGTGGTTCTATCCCGTTGTCATAGCGGCCGAGTCTTGGACCAAGTGCAAAGGCAGAAGCAAAAGCTACTAAGAAAATATACAATTAGTTACAGCTATAACACCAAGTCTATATTTAAAAAGAAAATAAGGCATTAAGTTGGTGGTACGTATCAGATCTAGTCAGTAGCATTAATGCAGGGTGGATCACTTTCTAAAGAGGCTGCACGAATTTTTCAATTGAATTATAACTTTATTGCAAAAACAATTATATGGTTTTTTCAGACAGGCGAAAACGTCATTGTATTGATTAAAGAATTTTTTTTTTAAATTTTATTTATTTACTTTTATAGATTGCCTCAAACATTAATCCGGCTCAGACCTCAAATAGTCTATGTACTCCAATTGACCTAAAATATAATTAGTGTTTTATAATGTCACAGCAAATCATAACGATTATTTTATAATCATTCTTACTTTTTAATCATCGTGTTTCTCTGCCTGAAATAATTGGCAATGTTGGATAACTTTCGTGGTAGCAACGAGAAGAAGTTACTCAATTAATGCACTCTTCTTTGTTGTGTTACGAATTGTTGGATGGGATAGGCCGCATGGGCCAGAATGGGACATATTAGCCTTATATTATCAGGTGGTAGTCTATCGTCTTGTTGATTGATCTTACAATACCGTTTGGAAACTTCAGATATCCAACTATATAAAAAAAAACACAAATGACGACTATCTACAAAAAAAAAATCTTAAAAATGTGTGACATTTCCAACAAATATTAAAACGGATAATATTGGCAAGTTGGTTGGAGTAAGCAGGGAAAATATTATGAGATACAATAAGATAAAGTACAAACCTGAAACACCTCCAACTAGATGAACGGGTCCACTCCCTGCTATATCGACATTTCCTAATCGTCTTAAAAACCCATGATCACCCCAAACCCAACCCGCAGGAACGCAGTACACAACTGTGTTTAACAGCGAAAACAGACAATATGCCTTGAAGTTACATCTAAGAACAGAAAGAAGGCACATTAAATAACAAGAAATACTGTTTACAACATTAGGTGGTAAAATATTTATGTGATAAGATTTTTTTTTTTATCTAACTTTCAATGACTCTATCTGACTGTAATAAAACAGGTGAAAGAAAAGATGGAATATAAAAATGGAAAGGATAGGAAATTTTGGGTTGGAAGCGGATGGAAAGATCATTTAAAAGTTGCTGTATAATGATCAGAGAAGGGGTTGCAGTAAAGAGAATCCCGATGACTTTATGGTTAATGCTTCATAAGATCATATTCGGATAAAGTGAATGGCAAAGGACCGTATCAGGAAACTATTGCCGACATAGCTTTAATTGACAAGTAAAATCTTTTATGTTATCTGCATAGTTTCTTAGGTACAACAGCTATCCCATCCACTATTGGATCCAGCATTTAATTTTGTGGAGCTTCAGCCCGAAAGCTTTTTTTTTTCATATACATATAACTATAATTACTTTAGAAAAATAAAACACCTACATGAAATGGTGTTTAAGTTATTCTTAAAGTCCTATTAAATGTAATTACACGAACAATAATACTTTAAGAGATATTTTCTTTACGATAAACATGGTTACGTTTTACGGGGGCTTCAACTCGAAAGCTCTCCTCCGTAGATCCGCCTGTGCTCCCATCGTAACTGTTGAAAAGAAAAAAAGGTCCTTTAAAAAATTGCATATACTTCATCCTGAGGCATTTCAACTCGTCCTCGCTACTTTTTTTGCTGATTGGAACCATGCAATCCCTAGCGGCCAATTAAACATCCAGGTATTTGAATGAGTATTATATATTTTAGTTGCTTGTGTCGCCCAGAAAAAAAAAGAGTATTATATAGATTCTTTAATCGCATGAAAAAGGATAAAATAATTAGGTCATTTACATCACATAAACCAAGAAACGATCTCATGGTGGGAAGATGTGGGTTGGAAAGGAGGAGAATAGCTGAAGATGAGAATTAATTAGTTTTCCATTTTTAAAGGCTTATTATTGACTTTTCTTAGGAATCTCAATGGAATATTCATAAAACAAAATGGTTCATGAAACAAAATTACCCATCATAGAAAATGATTATACTATACTGAGTCACTAGGGGTTTTCTGTCCCATAAAGTATGCTCAATGAAGGATGCTTTAGCCGATGTTCTCCGAACGAGTTCAATATGGTCCTTTAGGGATAACTAATCAGTTATATAATAACAAAGCATAGCTCGGGCTTGAAATCAGTCTCATCCTTTGATAATCCTTTTTTAAGGCCAACATTACACGAGGCTAAGATGACTAAGAGTGTTAAACCGTTATAATCTTAGTAAACTTGAGTTAAGCGGTTAAGGAAATTTATTTCCTGACTTTTCCACTCTGATTGGGATAGGTTTGTTATACCTGTAGAAACAGGGAGGTAGTAGTTAAAAAGAAAAATAAGTGCAAAATTACATGCATAATAGTCTCTCTACAAACATAACAGAGAAAAAAAATAATCACATCCAGTTCAGTTAACATATATTCCTAATATTACTTGCCTTTCAGCCATGGCTCCAGACACTATCGTAGTTGCTGTGGTTGCGAATGATAGCTGAAACAGAAACGCCGTGAACTTGGGACCCATTTCCGGACCTGGTGGTGAATCAAGCAACCAATCACCTAGTGCCAGTACAGGGCAACTCCATTCTTGCCCAAAGCTCATGCCATAACCTACCGCCCAGTATGTTATTCCTCCCAGGAATATGTCCACAACGTTCTTCATCATGATGTTCATTTCGTTCTTTCGAGAGACGCAGCCTGATTCCAGCATTCCGAAACCTGCGATGAAAAACAATGGTATAAAATGGCAGACACCATTGACAGTAATACACAATAATATTTATAATGATGTAGAAATGGTTGACCGTGATATAATATGGGGAGTTGATCGGGGGGTGCGGTCAAATAAATACTAATTTTTTTTTAAAATATTATTTTTAATCGGTAAAAATAGTATTTTTTATTACGCGGACGTTTCAATCCACCTTACAGTACTTCATCAGGGCGTGGCATGTGGCCCTGCAGGAAGCAGTTGATAGACTGCAACCCCAATTCTTTTACTTCTCTGATTGACAGCGCCCGATTCATCTCCCGCAGAGGGACTAAGTCCTAGTGGCTACTAAACCCCCTCTACTCTACCTCTTTCACTTTCTTACGAACAACTAAAACAGAACGAATCGTTTCTGAGTCCAGATGCATTATTGAAGACTTGTTGGCTATCCCTCATCCACCTTTTAAATCTACAGCTCACGATTTACCCGAGGCGTTAGAATGTGACATACAGATCTGTAGAATGATAATTGAGGTTTCAATAAACCCTGGAAGTCATGAATAAAAAGTGGTTCTTTTTGGCTAATGGTTAAATCTGACCCTAAAATGTTATAGGCCTTTTGATAGCTCAACGCTAGGTTCAATAAGGTTTTGAAGGAGCAACTTGATTCTTTATTCTTAAAATTTTCGCGGCTTCTCGGAGGAAATTTGAGATCTGCCAATTATGGTTTTAGAATGCGAAGTCTGAAAGTGTATTGTAAGGACTATCTTTAAGTAATAAGTCGATTTTTAGATTAAGAGATGAATCTTTGACTTTAAGTCACATGCTTTTTTTTCCTTATTGAAATGCGCACATTGTTCGTCATAATAAGTTTTTTTTTTTTTTTCAATGTATTTTCTACAACTTGATGCATTGAGGGACTCTACTTAATACACCTCTCGCCAATGGAAATTTGCTTTGATATTTCCAGTCTGCGCAATATGTGTCCCAGTTCAGCCACGTTGAAGCACATAAAATGTGTTCCTCAATCTTCAGGATATTGTATCTCTCTCGATATATATACCAGAACACAGAAAATATTGTAGTTTTTTGTCCTTTGCTGTTCTTCACCAATGAAATTCTGTTCCTAAGGCGTGTATAAGTTAACAGTGGTCGGATTCCACGTTAGCTCCTCTATAGGATCTAACATCCAGCAGATTAGACTCATTTCTGGAGTTGATCAGAATATGGTCAATCTGGTTTACGGATGCTGCATGAAAACTTATGGCCAACTGTTTGAATTCTATATTAATAATGATCCGGAACTAAAAATATGGTGTTTTTTTTTTAGTACATCAGTAGTAGAACGTACGAGTTTTCTTTCTTTTCTAGAGTGCTTTGTCAAGTACACTGTACTTGTTGAATCACAGCAATATCAACTTTTATGGTCTTGCAGAGTATTAGAATACTGTGTGAATGTTCTCCCAATCTAGAATACCTGTGTCCCTGATGGCTATATGAGGAGTTAGCCACTTCCCACGCCAAGCAAGTTTCTTAGCGAATTAAATCAGTAGTATCTTCACGATCATAGAGAATTAAAAGGCTTACTACTCAGTTCGCAAAAAAACATGAATAGTTTTGTTATTAACATAATTCTGTTATATTAGGGTGTGGCTGAATGATACACACTTGGAGTCCTGCCTTTTCTTCCACAAATGGGAGAGAAGTCTTGGCTCCGAGTCCTGACTGAATGGATTTGGTGAATATTATATAAACGTATACTTTTAATGCATATATGCTTGTATTTAAGTTATTATTTTGATTAGTTTAGTTTCTTTTTGTTTATATACATTTACTTTTATTGTTATTTTTCTATTTTAATTTCTTTTAATTTTTTGTACATAGAGCGTGAATGTGCTCTCTGAAAACTATCGTAAATGTCCTTAATCGAGACAGATCGTAATATTTCTTAATAAATAAGTTTTTAAAAAAAATTTCATTATCGAATATATTCGCAATAAAATGGAATATATAATGCGCAAATATAAAATTAATTGTACAACAGAACAACTACATACCAGTCTGCATAGTGAATATTATAAATGCCGCAGTCATTATCCAGTTAGAATCCTCAAAGGTTATGTTATACACGGAGGGAATTGGTTTATTAGAAGTTTCGTTCCTGTCATAAAAAGACGCTGTTGAGTTTTCTGGCATGATTTCTGTTACTTCTTCCATTCTACCTTCTCACTGGAATAGGTATCGTTCACAGTTTCTTTTAGAATAACAAAGAGAATATAAAAAGCTGGCTAAAGGAAATTTACCTTGAAATAAAATATGCAAGACCACTTGACAAGGAGCCCTTCAAGGTCTAGTCTTTCAATAAATAGAGTTTCTTTCTTTTAGAACGAAATCGAACCATTTACTGTATTCCAGTTAATGATGCTTGACTTGTATCGATTGATCTTATTTATTTTTCATTACCATTATTTGACCAGATAAAAAACCACTTAAGTAAATATTGTTAATGAATCTTAGGGAAAAAAATTGTAATCTCCCCTGTCCTGATCGTTTCATTGGTGGAAACAGTTAATTCTGTCATTTTAAGTAAGTGAGATAATTTCTGAAACTAACTATTATAATGAAAAACGCTACAAAATTGAATGTATTTCATAAAATTTCCACAGAAACCTCCAAATATATTAAATTAGGTATTTCTTAAAATATTACTTACATAAATGTTTAATTCAAAATATAAGAAAATTAAATCTTCATTTTCATTGTCATTTCATAAATATCTATGATTCTGAATAAGAAGGTTGACTCTATTTATTAAATCAATGGCTATTTGATTGATAATGGATGTGAATTTAGGCAATGCAGATGAGTTCCTGTGTCTATTCTGAATATAGATACCTCTAAAGAATGTTTATCAAAGTAAAGATCTTTTCTGAGAACTCTTTATCTAGCAGACAGTGGAAAAAATAAATAAGGTATTTGAAAGTATAGGTTTTCCCAGGATAATCAGAGTAAGGAGGAATCAGGTTTTAATGTATTTAGTAATAAGTTGTAATAGTAATTTGCATGGAGTTCTGCCCTCGAAAGAAATAATGATTACATAAAATAAGTTCTAAGGAGCAAAGGGTGCCTTACAAGTATCTACACATTACACTGAAATATCTATCATATAACAACCAACTATAATAAAATGAAGTAAACAGGGAACAATTATACCTTTAGAGTATAAGTAGTACAGTGTACCAATATCTGACATCCTCCTCAAAAAAATGGGAATAAGATCTCACATCCCAGACCTCTTACAAACTTTTGGTCTCTAAATTTTCTCCTTGTATATTTGTTTGTCTTGCTGTGTTCATGCCGGAAACCATAAATAATGGATAGCAAATTAGGAAGGTCCCTCATGGTTCTCTTACTGTCTCAGGAATAACCATTTATCATTAAGATTATGTTTAGTTTTTTTTTCTTTAACTACTTTGATTTATCTGGAACCTTATGTTTTATTTTTTCTTCAAGTGTTTTTAGATAATATTATTCTGTTTCTGTCATCTATAGGAGCATTCTTAATCAAACAGTGTCAGCTACTGATGCAACAGAACTTATTTATAAACATACACTTTTTTAAAATATTTATGGATGTTTCATGGATTTGTAAAGTGTTTGGGTAAGGCGAGAAGCAGTTCTATAAGATGAATACCAGAAAAATACAATAACATTTTTATTTAAGTTGTTACATGTAATAATTCAAAGAAAGTATATCAGATACACTGTTCAAAAAAATTTAAAAATCTACCTGCATTTTAATTTAAAACAATGATTTAGGCAATCAAACACAGTTATAAATATAAAAAGTATATTTCTGTCATATTTATCAAAAAATATTCTTTTAACAGGGAATAAGCCTCTCTTTTTTTTTTTTTTATCAGCAATCCATATACTTTTATATTTCAAATATTTACAAATTTTCTTTATTTGTAAGAAACACATTTTCTTTATTTTTCTTTACTGAGAGACAGTAATTTTTCCCTATCCACTCTTTCAAAATATATGACTAATTCATAATGATCAGTATGAGGAAACATATCAACTGCAACCGCTGCAATAGGAAGGAAAGGATCACCACTCAGCGTTTTAGAAGTGTCCCTCCCAAGTTCAACAAAATTTTTGAATGCAGCGTTACCGTCACAGGACATAAACACAATTCTTTGAAGATTTTTCGGGCGCCTCAGCATCAAAATAGCTTTTGGGTCTAAAAAAAAAAATAAATTAACAAATAATAAATACAATGATGACATGATTAAATAAATTCCTTAAAATAAGATTTATCTTACGTAAACCAGCTCTAGGTGGATCTAAAATAGCTACACACTTTTCATTTTCTTTTACCCTACTCATTACAGAATCTAATATTTCATCAGCTTTACCACAGAAAAATTCACAATTGTTAATTTGATTTGTAACTGCATTTTCTCTGGCATCTTTCACTGCTTGTTCAACAATTTCAATGCCAAGAACACGACAGCAATCCTAAAAATTAAGGATTAATATACAAATAGATTTCAATGAAAAAGAGATGCTATCAAGAATTATTAGCATATAAAATATAATGAAAAAATTAATTAATTGAACTACATTATGACAAATAAACATACTTTTGCTAAGCAAAGTCCAATAGTTCCAGTGCCACAACAAACATCAACTAAAACAGTGTCTTTATCAATGTTTGAAAGCTCTTGAACACTGTTTATTAAAACTTCAGCACAACGAGTATTAATTTGAAAAAAGGAAGCAGGAGAAATTTTGAATTTAAGTCCGCATAAAATTTCTTCAATACATTCTTTCCCAAGAAGAAGTTCATATTCTGAGCCTTGAGATCCTTTCTCTCTGTAAAATAAAAAAAATATTGAACAACATTATTCTTTTAAAATAATTATTAACACACAGTAAACTGGAAGAAACGGAATACAAAATGAATTTTAGAGGCAAAGAGTTGTAAATTAGAAAGACAGGTTTTTTAAAAACTAGAGAAGTGCAATGCTAATAAAAAAAGACTCAACAGTCTTTCACATGAAATAAATACATCATACACCATGAATAGAATAGTACAAGAATATTCTGAAAAAATTATCCATTATCAATTAAATTATTAACATTGAACTGGTTGGCAGCGGAGAGGCACTGAAGTTGTTAGTTTTCTGTTATCCTGTAAACTAGTTTAGTTACATGTAGGAGATATGTAAATGACAACAAAAATAATTTTTTACTTACTTCCTCTTCATTATTTGAAAGTGCAGTGAATCGACATGGAACTCTGATCCTAACCCAGATTTATAAAACTCTTTTATTTCTTCTTTGAGAGCAGACAGTTCTTCGGCATTCAAATTTTGAGGGTGAAATCCCACAATTAACATTACTTCACCTGTAACCATCCCTATCCTTACAGTTAACTGTTTCCAATGTCCACTCAAATCTTTTGGAGAAAATACTTCGTATTGAGATTTTTGTACAAACTTTTCGAAAATCTGTAAATGAATTTCAGTAAGAGTATAACAAAATCTATGAAAAAATAACACCAGTATTTATTAAAGTTGTTAAACCTTAGCAGATTCAATAACGACTTTAGGCAAAGTAGGAATATCGTCAACAGGACCAACACTTAGAGATCCACTAGCATAGCTCCCAAGTCTAAAACCAACTCTTCTTTCCCCGGTGACTCCATCTTTTCCTATAAACAAATGTATTTTCGTACAAAACTAAAACATAATAGTAACTTTTTTATTTTATACTAAAGGAGAATGAATAAAATCTACAAAAGGTTTAATAAAACTTACCAATCGTAAATTCGCATTTATTACGGTAACAATTGGGTTCATTTTCAAGAAATCTTGTATTGAGTAATTTACAAGGTAGGCCTTCATTTAACTGTTTCTGATTCTCAATCCAATGTTTTAGCAAAGGATTAGCCCTGACTAATTCCATTCCTAAACGAAGAAGTAGGGATTTTGCATTTTCATATTTATTATTGACCTGGAAAAATAAAATTGGAATATCTCACAAATAAGTAAACTGTAGCACAGTATTTAATTTAAGTTTAATTAAATTTATATTAAATCTTATTGCACCTGAGTTTCATAAGGAACATTCCATTTTGGTGCCACACTTGTAAGTAAAGCTTCCTTTTGCTCTTCAGGCGTTTCAAATTTAATCTTTTTATTGGGAAAATCATTTGAACCTTCTAATCTTCTTTTGATTAAAGGATCAGGAGCAGGCTCAGCAGTCTAAAGAATGAAACAGTTAAATAATTATAACATTGTAGCACACCCATAGCAAACCTAAGTTTATTTTTACACATACTTCAGTCCAATAATTTTCCCATATTATTGAAAACTTTTCTTTATAAGAAATGTATGCATCATAAAAACTTAGTCCCAATTTAAATTTTGTTTAATAGCACATAAATATTTATTTTTTATTTATCATTCACGTTATTTTATATAAACATGCTCGGAAACCATTGTCAGAGTACAAGCATATTTGGAGTAGAGTGATCTAACATAAGAAGAAGTTCATTTAGGAAGCAATAGATCATCAACTATTTAATATTCTATACAAATATTTTGAATAAAACTTGCAAATTATTTAATTTTTTTTTTTGTAATTAATCAAACAGGAACAATGCTGTAATGTAATTTATTATTTAAAATGATTTTCCAAAAACACTGAAAGAGATTAAATCATTAATCTTCTTATACAATGTATTAATTCAGGAAGCTTTTTGAATCAAATGCACACAAACATCCACACACACTCAGAAATATATTATTTATTTATTCCCAAGCTAACAATTCATTCTTTATTTAAGTTGGAATCAATTCAAAAGCATGACAATTAATCTAATCTTTTTCTTATATTGTTTTGTTTATATATAAAAAGTAGGTAAGGAATAAAATACCTTCACAGTTAAAATGGAGCCTTTCCATTTGTATCCTGATAGAACTGAAATAGCCTTTTTTCTTTCTTCCTCAGAGCGAAAACAAGCATATAGCCATGGATTTCCACTACCAAGAGATTTTACTTTTGAACAATCTAATTTTAATTTTGACTTCAATAGTTTCCTAAACTCCTAAAAATAAAAATAAAGTGACTTTTCATAGTTTCTTATTTGAATCTAGTTTTCTAATGAGGCAGTCAGACAAAGCTAGAGGTGCATAATTACTCACTATCTGAATAAGGTACAAGCAAATATTTGTTCAGTGCTAAATGCCTGGGATATTCTACTTATAATTATATACATTAAATTAATAATCATGATAAACAAATATTTATAAATAAAATTGATGGAAATAGAAGAATCAAATGTTATCAATAGTTATCGTAAAGTTTTAAAAAAAATTGAACCATTTTGTTTCCAATTTTTAAAACATTTTGAAAATTTTAATATTGACAAAAAACACTAAGATTTTCCCAAACAGAGGAAAATAAATAAAATGATGTAGAATACTCATTGAACAGAAATCCTATAAAAGAGATGTGTAACTGGTCTGCCACTTTATTCCGAAAGCTATTATAAAAAATTAAAATATAATAATAAAATTTATGGGCCACTTACCCCTATTCCATAATATTTTGGCAATCCTCTAACTTCTATCTTAAATATTTCAGATGTAAAACCATTATTGACAACATAAGCAAAAGGGTCTAGGTCAGTATTCACTTCTTTTGCATTATTTGTGTCTTGAGAGTCAGGACTAACATTGCTGTCGTTTTCCATACTTGACTGAATTTTTCTAAATTGAACCTAAAATACTCAGTAAAAAATAAAATTTAATTCTTATTTAGTGAATTCTATGTAGAAAGAAACACCATGATTTTGGTAAGAAATTGTTAATTGCCGCGTGGTCTGTTCAAATGTTAGAATACCAGCTCTTTAAAAAAAAGTATTTTTTAAATAGATTCTAACTTTCCAAAACATAAAATAAATATTAATATGTATAATTTATATTTTTATATCAAAAAGTTTTAAGTAGTTTCTACAGAGTATAATAGAAACTTTAGAACGGCGTGAAACAACATTGGTTAACTTTCTTATTATTAATCAACTAATAAGTACGATACAGCATATTGTTAAATGTAGGATTGTATAAACCAACGTGAAAGTCCTGTAAAATAAAAATTGTACCGTAATTCAATAATGAAATAGAAAATATGTTTAACACAGTGTAAGGTTATAAACAAGAGTTAAGGCGTAAATACGGCCTTCTTGATTGTTGTGTCACTCAAAGCAGACCCTACACGATCAATCATGAATGACAGTCACAAGACTATTGCTTCAATGCTGGACCGCTTCGATCATGACGAATCCTTCACATATCAATCAGAATGACGCATTTTAGCTCAGTTGACTTCACTAGCAGATCCAAGATTTAATTTTTGGAGAGCTTTAGTCCGAAAGTTTTTTTTTTTTTCATATAATGATAATTTCTTCTTCTTCTATAGGCTTTCCTCTTTAGTGTCCCTCAGCGTAGAAGAATTCCATTCTTCCCAATTTCTGGGCAGGTTCCTCGCCTGTCGGAGGTCCTTCACCCTCGCCCTACAGAGTGGCTCATTTTAATCGAAATAGGACATTCTAGGGCGGCTTCTAGATCTTCTGCCATCTGGAACATATTCCATGGTCTTTAGAGGATCTCTGTGGTCGTCGTCCATCCTGATAACATAGCCGAACCACTTTAGCTGACGAGTTTCTAGGAGCTCTTTCAGTGGGGTTATCTGCAGTTCCTGATGAATACTATCATTGCGAACTCGGTCCCTCTTTGTTTTTCCAACCGTCCTTCGCAGAAATTTCATTCTGTTCTCCTGTCGGTCTGTTAATACCCAACTCTCCGCTCCATACAAAAGTATGGGTAGATATACTATCTTGAAGATGTGTAGCTTCACATCCCTTCCTACTTCTCTCTTCCCTACCACAGTGTTACATATCTGGCAGTAAACTGCATTTGCGTTATTGGTACTTCTTCACTAGCAGGCCGGGACTGACTGCTATCTGCCAATGTTTATAACCTGAACACTGATAATTCCGATAAGGCAGTAATAAGCCTTCTTGTAATTCCTATCTTCGTATTATTGTATTATAGAAAGTGTAAACAGAAACAAAAACAAATGTAATAACAAAAAAAAACTTTTATTTTACGACACATATATTAATGAAATAATAAAAAAACACTTAAAGAAGATATGTACATATAAAAAGAAAAAATATCAACACTATAAACGACATATGTAGCAATTTATTTTCACTTCCTCTAATATCGAGAAACGGGTCCTCTTCTTTGTGAACTCGCCGCCACAAAAAATCGCATAAATATGAATCGGTGTTGTCTGGCAGTTCCTCTATGTATTTTATTTCTCCACTTAGCTGAGCCCCATAATCGGCCTATGTGTTGAATATGAACCCCAGTTGATGGGTCGACAAAATTATACAAGTGATTCACTTGGAAATGGTCATACTTTGCTTCGTTCAGTTGTCGGGTGTTGTATCCTTTCCAACAGTCCGAATAAATGGTCGTTCCCTCTTCTATATCGTCTTTAATTGCTTGTAATAAGCTTGTTGCCTTTCTCGCATTTATTTTGACGATAAATGACAATAAAATAATGAAAAATGGCAATAAGTAAAATGAAAAATAAACACAAACGGACCAGAAATAAAAAAAAAAATTAATAAGTGAACTTAATTAGGGAATAACTGAGAAATTAACAATGTAATAACTGAAAGGTTTGGCGAGATAAGAAGAGGGAGGTTATGTGACGTGATGTTAAAAAACATAGATAAGAAGTGAGGTTTCAACTGGGTCTGCTAGTGAAGTAGTACCGCATTATTAATCCTGTTTGATATTTCTTGGTCTTCCTTCCCAGATCCGTCTATCACTGTACCCAGGTATGTGAAGTCTGTCACCACTTCTAATTCTTCTCCATTACAGTATATGTGGATATAATTACCATAAACATAGTTACATTTTACAGTTTTTTTTTGGGAGGGGGGGCTTCAGCCCGAAAGCCCTTCCTCCGTTGATCCCCCTGTGGTTGACGTTAACATAACAGGTAGTGTGGATCTGATGCATTTTCCATTAATAATATTGTTTCAAAAAAAAAAAATCTTAGAAGGTCATTATCCTTTTTGGTTCAGAGGCCTCAAAACTTGTACTTCCGTTGTAAACCCATATTTGAAAATTTTCACGATCGCAATACTTTCCTTTACTGTATATTGGTAAGTGAAAGTTAAAAAAGAGCTACAAATAAACAAAATTTTAAGACAGACAATTACAAAATGTAGTAAACTAGACAGAATTTCCTCAAAAAACAAGTATAATTTGTCTTTGTTAAAACCATTGTAAAAGGGCTTTTATGAGGCTAAGTTCTGCCTTTCATAAAACCAGGAACTATTTGCAATTTTTTTATCAGCCTCTCACTGGCCTACAAATTTATAATATTTTTTCTTATATAACCTTTAAGGTCGTGTTAATTAAGTTGTGATCTGATGCAGAATAATTTGAGAGTCTGCTCCAGTTTTAAAACATTAGGTCATGTAAAATTCTGTCGCTGCAAAATAACAAAGTTTTCAAAAAAAATAATTACCATTAATTATCACACAGGTTTTGTTGGTTTTAAATCTGTGAACTGCGAGGTATTTTAATAAACTAATTACTAAGACACTTTTTATTTTCTAATCCTAATTTTATTATTTATGACCCATGTTAGCCAATTTGCATGATTTATGTATTTAATTTTTCATACCTAAGAATGAAAATTCTCATGCCACAATAGCAGGAAATATACACTGGCTTAAGGAAATAGCTAATCATTGTTACCATTTTAAAAAACAGAATTTATTGAAATATATTATATGTTCTTATTAATAGGATTGTTACGCATTATTAGTATAATTTATTCATTTTTGTCAACTTCTGATGGTACATTTGATATTTTTAATATTCAAGAAATAATTCCAAAGCGGTAAAATTTATAAATCTAAAGATAAGAATATTATTTGATCCTATTAAAGAAGAAATATTAGAACATTAGGGTAAATTGTAAACAATTGCATTTAGTTGAAATTTATAAATCATTTCATTGTTTATTTTTAAATTTGTATGATTTATTTTAATCAATTTATAATATTGCATATTTTATTTACAATTTCTTTTATTTGAATATTAAATAATTTTTAGTAATGTAAATTTTTTTATTATAAATTTTATTTCACGACTCTAATTGAATTGAAATCCTTTTTTAATGAACGTCTGCTTGATATAGTAACAAGGATTTTATTAATGAAAATAACAATTATAAAGGTTAATTTATTTATTTTATTAGATATTCTAGTCTCTGATCAATTGAGAGTAATGTTACAGTGGCTATCTTTATGTGGACCATTCCTTCAGACAAGTGGGAATCAAATTTAATTTGTTTTCTTCCTGATTAATATTAATTAATTGATTAAAATACTGGTCATTGATGAAAGATATGTAGAAGTAGAAAATAAACTTTATTTTGGGACGATGTCCCCTTAGAATAACAATAATGAACAATTAAAAAAAGAACAACAATTACACTTTTTTCGGGTATACGCTTACATCAGAAAAACTATCCATCGCCGCGACAAAAACGTTCTATTCATATTTAAAGCTGATAAAATTTGCAATAAGATTGATTATTTAACTTTTTCGCTTGCTAGCTTGGTTTCCGAGATAACCATGAATATTTATTATTTTACGAGTTTATCTTCAACTCCCATTTTGTCCTAATCACTTTTACTTAAGTATATTGCAAAGTTCGTATTATCTGCAGCTTCTTTATAGCTTTTGGTTCCTAAGACATTTTTTAAAACCAGCAACTTCCAAATTTCCTGTTTTTTAAAACAAAAGTGTTAGAAATATTTATACAAGTATATATTTTAAATAATGTTTTCATGTTTCAGCTCATTTTATATTAAATATGACTTGCTTTTATTTCACGAAGCAAGTCAATTATTTCGGGATGACCAGCAATTTGTGCAATTTTAAGAGGAGTTCGATTGCGGTCATCCTCAAGCGAAATATCTGCCCCATTCAAAACTAACAAGCGAGCAGCGCCAACTTGATTATGAGCTGCAGCCAAGTGAAGTGGCGTCATATCATAAAAATCAGTTGCGCGAATGTCAAACCCTTCTTCCAGCAACCAACATATGACATGTTCATGCCCGAAGGCCGCAGCTATGTGGAGGAGCGAGCGCCCTTGGGTATCAAACACTCGCAAGTTGGCACCGTTTTTCTGCAGCAGTTGCAAAGCTTCTAGTTGGCCATTTGAGGTCGCGTACATCGCCGGCGCCCAACCCTTATCGTCTCTTACGTTCATCGAATAATTGTGCAACTCCGAAAGACGTATCAGGTCTCCTTTTTCTGCAACATAGTGAGCCTCAGTTTTACCTTTGTTCCCATCATCGCGCTTCAACAAATCCCCATCGTCAGTTGCTCCCGAACTTGCATATCTGAATTTTGGGTAATGTACATTTCTGTGAGCGCCGAACGGTTCTTCTGCTCTAATACCCTAAAACGACAAATAGCCATCAGTTACAATCAGACTTCGCACTTATATATAATAGTTCATAAATTAACTTATAAAGTATATTATTATCTCCTAAAAAGATTTTTTAAACGTACGTAATTGTTAACATAATTACGTCACAAATTATTCAAAAATTGCAAGGTTGCCTATTGGCTATTGAACCTTTATGTTTTTTTTTTTAATTTAACCATTTTTTTTTAATTCAACCTTCCCAGATTGCTGAACAAATCAAAAAGTTGCCTAAAAGAAAAGCTCCTGGACATGACTTGACTAACGCTGAAGTGCTCCAAGAAATGCCTAGAAAAGCTCTAGTGCTTTTGACAACTATTTATAATGCAATACTGAGGACAACTAAATTTCCACTACATTGGAAATACTCACATATAATAATGATTCACAAGCCTAACAAGGACAAAAACTCACCTTCCTCATACCGACCAATCAGCTTACTACCTATCTGTTCCAAAATTTTTGAAAGCTTACTGAACAAAAGACTTGTTGATATACTAACAAACACCCAAATAATACCTGACCATCAATTTGGATTTAGGGCACATCACTCAACTGTACACCAACTACATAGAGTAACGGACTACATATCTACAGAACTAGAGCAGAAAGTATATGCAACTGGCGTATTTCTGGATGTTGCTCAAGCGTTTGACAGAGTTTGGCACCAGGGTCTTCTCTTTAAACTCAAGACAATACTCCCAGCTACATATTATCTAATTTGACAATCCTTCCTTTCCGATAGATCTTTCTCGGTCCGACCCGGGTCAGAGTTATCTTCCATCAGGTCCATCTCAGCAGGAGTGCCTCAAGGTTCAGTACTCGCTCCACTACTCTATATCACATACACCCATGACATACCCTGCAGTCCCAACATTTTAACAGCGACATATGCACAACAAGCGACACAGCAATTTTAGCAAGACACAAAAATCCAATATACGCCTCACATACCCTACAACAGTATTTAACAAGATTAAATGACTGGTTCAAAATATGAAAATCCGACTAAATCAAGACAAATCACAGCACCTCACATTTACGCTTCGACATGAAACATGCCCTCCAGTTTTCCTTGGTACGTTAGCAACATAACTTTACATACTGACCTCCATATGCCGACTGTTAACGAACATATACGAACTCATTACAAACGATTCCATGATAACTTACAAGGACATCCCAATACACTTATAAATGACATGGCCACTACGAATATGCCAGGTAACGTCTGTAGGAGACTGAAGAGGAGCTGGATGAGGGACCTCCTCGCCTAATGTAGATATCACGCCGAGTGAGGTGCCGCTGGGCACTGATCCTCCTCATGCCTTTCATGACATTATATTTTGCAATCGACCTCACATTTACTGGTTGTTATTACCATTATGACAGGTGTGAATAAAAAATTAAAGCTAAAAAAAAAAATTTAACCATTTATTATTATAACCATTATTTATTCATTTATGCATTTATATTATTTACAATTTCGCCAGAAATATTCACCTAACCCGAACTAGGTCAAGGGTTGGTTCAAATGTTAGGCTATGTTAAAAAAAGTTCTGAAGATATTTGGCGTACCAAGCAAATTGCTTTCTGCCCTTCATCCAATACTTTTTCTGGCAATTTCAATTTCTCAGTAGAGCGGATGTTATCATCTGGGATAAGGCCATTGCTGAAGATTACTACCGAAAAATACCTGTATGTGATCTAGTATATAGAGCTGTCGAAGTTTCTGGCCCACATTGGTTAAAACTTGACCAATCGGCATTTTGTTCCAGGCAAAATTGTTTTATTTCCTTCATATAAACTTTGACATTAAAGATTGCAAAGAGGATTTAAGTACCTAAAAAAAGGAAAACAATTTTTTTATGTATTTTCCAAATTAATGAAAATTTATTTTTTTTTTTTTTTATGCCATCTCATAGAAAAAAGAAAATATTCTAGAGAATATAGAGAAGAAAATATTGTATTACTTTTTTTGCGAAAAAATCTTCTGAAGCTATGATAGCTTGATGATAAAGCTATGATGAAAAATAACTTGAAAACGTGCAAATTTACGAGTTTTAAATCGTAATATCTGTTAAGGCGTGACGGATTATATAGATTGTGACTTCTGTCATTTTGTTCCACATGGAACAGTAAACAAACCCATCTAATTGTATAAGGTTCTACTGACATCCGGCTGAGTTATCGAAATTCAAAATTTTGCATTTATTACTCAACACATCTTTTACATCTTCCACCTAAAAGCGCCTATAATGTATATATTTTATTGATTTAATTCGTATAATTTCCTTATTATGTTTATTTATGTACACAACTTTTAGTTCAGTTTAGGCGCGTTAAATTTCAGTAGTATCCCAGAAGGATGAAGGCTTGATAAACCGGAAGAAGGTGAAGCTGTTTATGAATTCAATTCAAAATTTATAAACTGCCTCACCTTCTTCCGGTTTATCTTGCAAAAAACAAGAGAAAACCATTCACACTTACTTTTATCTTCTGACCCATATTTATCATTTATTAAAAAAAAAAACATACAAATATAGCAAACAAAAGAAACAAAACTTTAAGTCCTGAAGCATTAGATCTTTTAAATATTTCTGAAGACAATACTAATTGAAATTTATTTTACATATACTTATGTTAGACTAATGAAGAAAAAGAAAATATTGGATGATACCTTATAGAGAAACTACTGAAATTTAACGCGCCGAAACTCTACAAAAAGTTGTGTACATAAATAAGTATAATAAGGAATGAAAGGAATAAATCAATCCAATACATACATTATTGGCGCTTTAGGTTGGAAGATTTAAAAGTTATGTTGAGTAATAAACGCAAAACTTTGAATGTCGATAACTCAGCCGGATGTTAATAGAACCTAACCAAATTAGATGGGTTTTGTTCACTGTTTCATGGGGGAAAAAAATGACATAAGTCGCATTCTATTATCCGTCCCGACTCAAAAAATATTGCGATTTTAAAATCGTAAATTTGCACATTTCTTTAGTTATTTTCCATCATAGCTCTTTTCATAAGGGGTTTTCGCAAAAACGTAATAAAATATTTTCTTCTCAGAAATAAATTTTTGATGAGATGGCATAAAAAAAAAAAAAAAAAAATGAAGAAATTTTCATTAGCTTGTTAAATACCTAAAAATTTGTTTTTCCTTTTCCTACTCTATTAGGTACTTAGTCCTCTTTACAAACTCTAGTTCACATGAAGGAAATATAAAAATTTTGCCTGAAAGAGCCAAATGCCGATTTGGTTAAGTTTTGACCACTGTGTGGCTCAAGTCTTGATACTTTTTGATATTTTCATAAATTGTTTTGCCGAAATTATCATCGGTAGGGACCGCAATATCAATAACTTACCCGCTTTTTGTATATATTATTATTTATTTTTTATTTGTTTCACAAATACAGTAGGGTTTATATACATCATACTTGGGTACCTATCAGGTCATCCAAAAATTACATTTATATATTTTCAAAATTCTTGTTTTTTGTGAATTTCCTGATGATATTTGCTATTCCCAACAATACGGCTTGTTGTACTTTTTCTGTCGTTTTAGACGGTAGGTATAGATGCCTCAGAGAAGATAGTTTCCTACGGTATCAGTCCGTTTTTTGAGATCACAATTGGCAGAATTCGAGTTCCCTTTAAACGATAAATTTGTTTTATCTGTCAAGCTAATTCTACGTAATTTATCTTTTTTCCCGCTTCTACTTTGAGCAGGTTATCGCCAGATGGGACGCCAATGATAATTGCAGATTGCTCGCCTTTGTCTATTATAAGAATGTCAGGCGTATTGTGAGGGATGGTGTGGTCTGTCATGATTGGTTGATCCCAGAACAGCTTAACGTTAGAAAATATAAATATAAATATAAATAGAAAATAACTTTATTATGGGACAAAATCCCTTTAGAATAACAAATTAGTACAGAATAAAAAGACTACATCTGGCCTAAATAAAACAATAACAAAAAAAGAAACTATTACTTAAACAAGCTATATAAAAAAAATTTAATCTGTATACAAAACACTTACAGTAGGCAAAATTATAATTATACACTTTTGAGGAAAAAAAAAATAAATAAATACATTGTTTTTCTTTAAAATATGCTCTGTGTTTCGGCTATCAAAGGAAAGATGAATGTGACAATATAAAATGTCAGAGTATTTCATTAATTAATAATATGTAAAGACATCATTATCTTATTGTAACTATAGGTACAGATTTAATTGTATAAGAATAAAAAATAATAAAAAACAAACAATAGATGCATTCAGTGGCATTAAGAGTAGGAAGATATTGTAATGTCTCTAGTGAAGTTTATAGTATGGAATTGTAAAATCATTTGACGATGAATGATATAATAGAAATCTATAATATCAAAAGCTTAGCAAGTATCTGACTGTTTTGGAATAGGAGGGTTTTGAATGTGGATATGGAAGGAGAATGCCGAATTTTGATATGTAGGGAATTACAGAAATTGACAGCGCGAGCAATAAAGGAGTTTTGAAATGAGGTAGATCTGTGAGAAGGGATGTAAAGGTCAAAAGGTCGAGATCTTGTGGAAAGGCAATGGACTGAGGACTTGAATTAGAGAAGGTTGTAGGCGTAAGAAGGATGATGATTATTGATGATTTGATAAAGGAACGTACCCACGAAATACTGTTTTCGAAAGGAGGGAAAGAGCCACTTTAACTCCGTGTAGTGGTGAGAGACATGGGATAAGTCACGCATGATGGGGGACGTTACGCATGGAGATGATTGGCTTCAGATGTATTTATAATACAGACAATAAGATTCCATCTTCTGAGCCATGGCTCCTGTAGACTTTTGTGGCTATTACATGTTCATGAATAGCAAGCAAGGATCCTTCTGTTTCTGGAAACACTCTTCAACCATGTCAACGACGTCTGAGTGCCCAAACCTGCATCCATTAATGAGTAATAAAATCGTCCATGTAAAGGTTTATTTTTCCATGTTTCTGATAGAGTGGGTTATTATTATTAATTTATACTTTTGTATGTTATTCTAATGTTATAAATAGGATGGTAGGGAATGGCTCCAGAATAGAGATATGGTGGTACCTACATGGTGCACTCCACCTGCCTTAAGACTGGTTGATGGTCTCGGCTCTGTGTCTGAAAAAACAAGTAATTATATTCCCTTCATTTGTTTATTAAATAATAATGATTATTATACGCTTTATCCAATACTTCGTATTATTAGTAATACGTCGCATATTGCTACCGTCAGTGCAAAAGATCTTAAGAAATAATTTTACATTTCTATTTTATTTGTGCTAAAGGTAGCACGAAGGTAGTTTTTAATCTGCTACAATGGCAAATTTGAAGAGAGAAATTAAATATGAAAATATAATAATAAATCATAAAGAAATAATAATTTATTACGCTCTCCTTTAAGTGCTCAATTTTTACAACCTTTTGCAGTAACAATAGCGATATACAGAGTATAACGTAAATATTATCTGAATTCGAGACTGCTATAGTAGACCTTAATTGTAACAGAAATTATTGAGGTATAGTCCGGTATATAATTAGAGTTATAGAAGAGGTATTGAGGTATAGAAATTATATAATTATTCCGGACAGGAAAAGGATAAATTATATTATTTTTTTTAGTAGTTAAGATTTGTGATGTAAGGTAATATGTCTAATTTAACTGGACTATGGTATACCCATAGTAAGGTACTTAGTTATGGATGCTCCCGTTAAAGTCGATTGAACCGTAAATATTTGATTTATTCAATTGAAATATTTGTATTATCGTCATATAATTCGGCTCTTATTATTTGGAGTTTAAGTAACAATAATTTTCATAAATAGGATAGATTCCTACCCTTGGTTCTGTAGAAACACATAAAAAGTATAAAGGTACTTTTAAAAAAGAAATATCTGTTACAGTTATCTAACAATGATAATTAAATAAATTTAGTTGTAGACGTTAATATGTAACCATTAATATATAATTGAGAAAAATACAAATATCAAAATCTTACCTGATTCACATTTAGGTTCTCCAAAGTGAACATAACTTTCAGTGGTTTTTTCCCCCTGGTTCATCATGTCTTCCATTACTGTGGAATGAAATAATTTCTTTAATTAAATCCAACCTTTATTGGTAAGCTTTTTATTTAACTGGGCACTCACTATAAAATAGACCAGGGGAGTGTGGGATAATACCGTGCACCAAAGCTTTTTTTTTTTTGTCTTAAATCGAATCACATAGGGAATCATCTCATTTTGTCAAGCATTTAATCGACAATATGTTGTTTATTTAATATTTCAATTATTAAATCCATGTAATTTTACACATCTATGTTAACTATAGGGACGTGCTTTCTTAAGCCCAAAGACTTTCTATATCGAGTATATATTGAGATAATGCAAGGCAAAGGGTTCGCATCCACACAACCTTACGTTAATTGTAGTACTGTCATTGAATAAATGTCTCATGTCGTCGACTTGAGGTTCCTATGATCGAGAGAGGAGACATTTATATTTTTTATGAAAGATGTTTTTTTGTCGGTAAACCATACCATCGTTAATTCTTCTTCAAACCCCAAGATTTGTCTACCAATTTTGAAGGTTTCCTTCTCCTTCAATCGTGAAAATAGTCCAATCACCCCGAAAATTGAGGAGGAAAAAGTTATGAAAGAAAATAAACTTTATTTCCGAATAACTAAAAAAATACACACTTTTTTTCTGGGTCATGGTCATATGAAAGATTAATAAATACCCTACAAAAGGAAAAAAATATTTCTCAGAATTTGATGCATTTGTGGAAAGAATTGATTTCTCTGAGCTTAATGATTCAGCGGCTGCCTAATCACCCCTCAAAATTTCCTACATCAGTTGTTTTACCAAACCGTACATACTCTGTAACCCTCATTTTTTATCCTAAATCTTTATCCTTTGTTTTTATCCTACCATATCACATTTCTGCTGTAAATATTCTACTTTTCACTTTCTAATCTCTAATGTATTACTATTGTTTATCATTTCAGTTATTGTGTGTTATATTTAATTATTTATTTAGATTACTATAATTTGTTATATACATTTATTTATTTTATTTTCTAATTATTCAAAGAATTGCAATATATCAATACTATGTTACTTAAACTAACTATGCATCTCAATACGCGTTATGTAGCAAGATGGTACGCGTAGAAATATATGCACCCATTACAGGATTACTGTAATGTGGAAAACAATAAAAAAAAAAATAAAAAGGAAAAAAACAATCTTCGAAATCGGACGATTATTGGCAAAAATACAGCTTATTGAAATTTGTAAACATGTTGGTTCCAAACATTAATGAAGTTTTAAATTAATTTTTGTTTTCTTCTGTCGATTATATTTAGCGAGAAAGTAACAGTTGATTTCTCTATCTTATGATACTTTGCAGTATTTTCTTATCTTGTTAAATTGTCATTTGAACAATATACTGTGCGAATTTTTCGCACGGGCCTACTAATTAACATAAATAGGCGCTAGTCTATCATCAATTACCTTTCGAGCAGCTTGCTGTGGTCGAAATTGTTCATTGTTTATGTTCATACATGAAACCTGTTATGTGTTGTAGATGCTGCAGTGGCGGTTCTCTTTTCTCCTCTCGACATCAGAATGACGCATGCGGCCTGTTACAGTTTCTCAGATAGCTTGCTCATTTTGAGAAACTGATTTTTCTTCACTTGTAGCCTCTGAAGCCTCCATTACAATAACTTTGGCTGCATCAGAGGATGTCTCGTTCATTTTATAATGTTCCGCTAACACTAATTCACTTGTTTTAGTTTTATATGTAAATGGGTCCTTTCCTAATCACTATTCAATAATAATTCTGAATTTTAAATCATATTAAAACACTTCATAAAATAGCTAACCTTTTTCACATTGTTTACAGTCATCTGACACAACATAACGTCCCTCCATACCTCTCTCGCTCTCCTCCAATTCTTACTGCTTTCAAAACGCCTTGCTGTTTTCTTTAATATTTGAATGTACAACCATGACCGACATGACTGCTAAGCATTTTTTACATATACTATTTAAACTGAAATTACTGATAGATAGTTTTACCAAATTGAAGTTTCTTACAAAAATATAACATAAATTATAATTAAGAAAAACAGAAGTCTTACATGCCGTTTTTTCATCAACTAAATCAAGTTGTTCCAGGTTTTCTGAAGTAATTGAGACCAAGCCATCACCTAAAAATCAAAATTATTCCTTCCATGGCTGCTAGATTTTATTTTGAATTACTTTTTATAATTTATTTGTAACACTAAAACCAGCTTAGCATAGACTGTAATATAAATGAGCTGTATACTACATTTTATTGTAATTATTAATAATAATTATTATTTATAAAATTGTTGTATAATATGGCTCAAGAGCTAATTATTATTATTATTCTTGCAATACATTCAACATAAATTTGCCATTACCCTATGGCCAAATATTGGAAAATATTTCTTTATTATTCTTATATTATTAAATATCCTACTTATTCATTTATTTTAAAGAATCTATATTCCAACGATATACTCATCTGTTATTTATTTTCTTGTTATTATTATTAAATATAAATAATATGTATTCTAGTGCCAGGTCAGGTTGCACTGATTTCATGTTTTTCTTACTCAATTACAAAGGTAGAAAAGCTTTGTGATCACTTTGGAAGTAAGCAAGATTTTCTCCTGAGGATCGAAAATTTCCATTTGCTTTTTTATATTAATTAAATTTCGTATCTTACGTGTAACCAATTCTATTTGTATGTTGCAATAAGACCTACTGCTTACCATGAAATTCTAAGGACTCATAAAATTTCGTCTTTATTTTCACTTACATATGGGTAAACGTATTTTTCTTGCATATCTACATGTTTAGAGAACATAATAAAGTCCCAATTGTGTTTGAATTAATTGAAACGCTCCTACCATCTATGGGCAAGCTAAGGAAGCATCTTATAGACCAAAAGACCAAGATAAGTTCAGGACAATCTGTCCACCCCTAGATAGTGCAGTATTTTGTGAATACTGCAAAATGAAGTCTGAGTAGACATTCTACACTGACCAAGAGGCTCGGAGGAGGGGAGAAGAACACGAAGCATCTAATACCGCAAGTAAAATAAAATATGGAAAATTTCCTACCAACCAACATAATATAATTTGTAATAATTCTATACAAAATTAAATAACTATATCGGCAAAGAAGATTACTTATGGAATATTGCTGGTAAATGTAAGTAAGGGTAAGTAACCCTACATGATGCAAGTAATGATAATGGGCAGCACTTAGAATAGTTCGCCGCGGACTTTAATTTCCAAATTAAAAGCACTTTTTTCCAATATAAAAGCATAAATTTGGGAGCGTGGAAACTTCCATGTTGCTATGTCGATCAAATTGATCCTGTTTTGTTTTCATCGATACATGCCTCCAATATAATTGTTGTTAAGACTTGCAGTGAACCAAACTCTTATTCTTATCACTTTCTTCTAAGAGCTCTTTTTTAGGCACAGATTATCAAATGTTCAGAAAGGCAATAGAATAAAGAGGAAAACACGAAACATTGAAAACTAAATAGCCTGGAGCACAAGAAATCATTTGAAAATGCCTTGAAAGACTTTAATGTTCATCTAAAGCTAATTAATTTCCTCTAAAAATGAAATTCCTCCGAACGTAAGCCAGTGTTCTCATTGGTAATGGAATGAGCCGAAAGATAATGTTTACCTCTAGGGTAACAAAGGAAATGCCCTCTCAGCAACCCTCTTTAACCTAGTCCTGCACAAAGCTAACGGATGTATTGATACAAACGGTACTTCAGCATGACGCTTATACCAGATTCTGGATTACGCTGATGACACTAATAATTTTGGCAAGTGTAAAAATGTTAAGAGAAGTACTCATCTAGCTGGACCATGAAAGTAAAAATGTTGGATTCGAGATTAATGAGTCGAAAAACAAATATATGGTAATGACAACTTCCAAAGCAAGAAGGCTTTGTATATATAACGTAATCTTATATATAACGATTACATCTTTGAAGCTGTTGATCTTTTCACATACCTCAGTACTGAAATTGACTCTGAAAATAATGTGAGTGATAAGATCAAGAAAAGAAATATGAGTGGCAATAAAACTTACTATGGCCTTGTGAACTTGATGAAGTCTACTCTGCTCTCTAAACGCACAAAATTAGAAATACATAACTCGCTTATGAGACCAGTAGTTTGCTATGGTGGTGAACGTGGACACTGAAAGTAAGGTTCTGAGAATCTTTCAGCGAAAATTAATGAGACACATTTTCGATCCTATCTGCGAACAAGATGCCTGGCTGCAAGAAATAACCAGGAACTGAATGAGATAAGTAATCTTGAAGATACTGTAAGATTTATTAAGTAAAGAAGAATTAGCTGGCATGGGCATGTTGAAAGATTACCCAATGAACAAATGACGAAGCAGCTCACAAGAGAATCCTTCCCAGGAAACAGGAAGAGGGGATACTCTATTAATAGCTGGAAAAAGAACCAGGATCTCAGGAAAATTGGCGTTACGAACTGGAAAATATAGGGTAAGGATAGAGAGGAATGTCGGCGAATTGTTTGGGAGGCCAGAGTCTATCTTGGACTGGAGAGCCACATAAGTAATAATAATAATAATGCTTTATTTATTCTTTGACGAGTCCCTTTAGAATAATACAAAGAGACAAAAATGTGGGCTAAGGAACCTCAGAGATATATAAACAAGAATATAGTTTGATTAAATAGTCAAAAAAAAAAATAAATAAAAAAAATAATTAGAGAAATTATAAGTTACTTTCTAATTTACATCAGTTAAGAATAAAAAATAAAAAAATTAAAATCAACATGGAGTAAAAATAATAAAGAACGATCTAATAATTTATATACATATTTACAGTAGTAACTATTTACAATTTTATGAGGACTGGATGGATAAGAAATGATTAAACAGTTGGAATTTAAAGGTAGGAAGGTTTTGGATTGACGGATGTGGGGATGGAAGGAGTTCCATAGGGAAGAGGATCGAATAATAAAATATTTATCGAAAGCAGCGGTTCGGTGGGCCATTATATATAGATCAGAAGACCGGGAACGGGTATTGCGGGAGTGGACAGAGGATTTAAATTGAAGGAGCTCGGCGATGTATGAAGGACGGCGGGAGTGAATTACTTGGAAGAGGAAGGATGCCAGGAAATACTTACGGCGGTAAGAAGGATAAAGCCACTTCAACTCTTCATAGAAACAGGAAGCAGGGGCGTCTCTTGGGATCCCGAAGATGAATCGTACAAAGCAATTTATCAAACGTTTTAGTTTCGCCTCGAGATCCCCAGAGACGCCTCCATATACCGTGCAGCAATAGTCGAAATAGGGAAATATTAAAGAGGTGACCAGGAGTCTACGGATTTCAAAAGGAAAAAGGTGTCGCAGGCTATTTAAGTGTTTTTGGGTGGAGGTACGTGAAGGTACGTCGGGAGGTATTGGACACATGGTTTTTCCAGGAAAGGTTTGATCAAAGATTATTCCAAGGTTTTTGATGGTGGGATAAAATTTAATGGGATTATCATGTAGGAAGAGGGTTGGAAAGTTAGGAACAGTTTTGAGGAGGTGATTGGAGCCTATTAGGATTGCCTTGGTCTTATCCGCATTCAACTTCAACTTGTTAACTTGAAAGTAGGTAAGTAACCGACTGTAAGTTGCAGAGATCAAGAAATTTCTTTCAGATCTTAAAAGGGGAATTAGTTTCCATAGGCGATACAGATTTTTTTTTCTTTTGAGCTTCTTGTCCTTCCGGAATAAAGAAAAGTATGTAACCTAGCGAGGTTGGGATGAGTTCTATCTCCCATTGTGTGTAACGTACATGAGTTTGTGAGGTTATCTCTAATGTAGGAAACTCAATTCTTTAGTGTGATTACCGAGTTGAGATTAGTCAAGGGAGCTCATTTACCATATCAAGCTCTAACCTGTCCTAAGAAATTCGGGTACTTTTTGTCTAAGCGGCCGTTTTGAAACCTCACTTCTTATCTATCTTATCTAACGTCATGTCATCATGTCACATAACCTCCCTCTTCTTAACCCGCCAAACTTTTGAGTTATTGCATTGTTTAGTTTTCAGTTATTCCCTTATTACGTTCACTTATTAAATTGTTTACTTTTGGCCCGTTTGTGTTTATTTTTATTTTTTGGCCCGTTTTGACCATTTGACCATTTCCAAGTGAATCACCGGTATAATTTTGTCGATCCATCAACTGGGGTTCATACTCAACACATAGAACGATTGTGGGGCTCAGCTAAGTGGAGAAATAAAGTACATAGAGGAACTGCCAGACAACACCTCGATTCATATTTGTGCAAATTTTTGTGGCAGCGGGTTCACAGAGAAGAGGACCCGTTCCTCGCTATTTTAAGTAGCATAAAACAATTTTGCCTTCCAAAATAAATAAGACAAAAGGAAGTGAATAATTAACTTAAAATAATTTGTATATACGTTGTTTATAGTGTTGATATTTTTTCTTTTCTAAGTAAATATGTTCTTTTAAATTTGTTTTTTTATTATTTCATTAATATATTTGTCGTCAAATAAAAGTATTTTTGTTGTTATTACATTTGTTTTTGTATCTGTTTACACTTTCAATAATACGAATTTAATACAATAATACGAAGATGTGAAGTAGAAGAAGGCTTATCACTGCGTTATGGGAGCTATCAGTGTTCAGGTTATAAACATTGGCAGATAGCAGTCAGTAGCGGCCGCTTAGACAAAAAGTACCGAAATGGGTTAATCGGAGATAAAGAGAAGCACCATTGCTATCTATAGTTCATGAATGAGCTCGTTTGAAAATTCATTTAATGCTTTTAAATGAAGCTAATAGATTAAAAGCTTTACGAAAAATTCTTTATTGAGAAATATTACAATCTGTCACATCCAAGGACACTAGTAATAATGATACAGTGACTCATTCACACTCTTATGTACAGTAATAAAAATAAATTAAACAGCAAAATAATAATAATAAAAATAAATGTGTATAAACAAATAAAAACTAAACTAATCAAAATAACAACTAAAATATACAACGTTTTTATACAATATTTACAAAATTTATTCACTCAGGAAAACTGCAAACCAAGCCTTTTTCCCACTCGTGGAAGGAAAGGCGTGACTGGAGGAGGTAAGTTCTAGCGCCGCTCACTCAGCCGCATTACTGTTATTAAGGATCAGTAGATTAAAAGTAAAGCTAACGATCCATCTAATTGCAGCCATGTTAGTTTTTCTGTCGATTTCGCAACGAAGGTTGTGATTTTTGTTCTTTCTGATTTACGATCAAAAAGAACAAAAATGGGAAATATTTTTGCGAATATCCTACAAAAACACTGAACCTAATTCTTACCGGAATCTTCACGGCTTATGGATGTTGAGCTTCCATTCATTTTGGACACAATCTTTTTTTAGTATACCAAGAACAGCTACACTTAAGAATTGTTCATTAAAATATATTAGGCAACTAATAAATAAAGCATGAATAGATCCATAAATAAGATTTTATTTTATTTAAGCACATATGTACAATTACCATTACTTACAATTGCAATATTCCATTCCCATCTGTTTCATATTAATGATTTACTTCTAACCTTTAAACATTTTAAGATCATTAAACCAAATTTATCTCATATGATTTTGAAATATTTGTATGAGGCACTAGCAGATCGAGAAATTAATTTTGGGGGCGCTGAGAGCCCAAAAGGTTTCTCTGTCACTCTATCTCTCTCTCTCTCTCACTCTCTCTTTATATATATATATATATATATATATATATATATATATATATATATATATATATATATATATATATACAGGGTGTTTCAGGGTTAAGTGGCCAAACTGAAAATATGAACTAAGGACCTCAAAACAAGAAACAGATTTCCTCTGAAGGAATGTCCGCAAACGCATTGTTTAGGAGATATTCACACCTAAAGATTTTCGTTGTTATGAATTATTTACATTATATGAAATAAATAGAACCTATTTATTTGCTCTAACTACTTTATTAATTTACATTAATTAACATTCATATTAAATGTCGCTCAAAGCACGGGCGGATCTACGGGGAGGGGGGGGGGGCTTTCGGGCTGAAGCCCCCCCAAAATCGAAAAATATAACCATGTTTTATACGAAAAAAAAATTAAAAAATACCTCTTAAAGTATTATTGTTCGTGTAATTACATTTAAAAGTACTTAAGGAATAACTTAAACACCATTTCATATAGGTAGTTAGTTTCTTTCTTTTTTTCCAAAGTAATTATCGTTATTTTTATTAAAAAAAAAAGGTTTCGGGCTGAAGCCCCCCCCCCAAAATTAAATCCTGGCTCCGCTAGTGGCTCAAAGTGATTTCTTCGAGCATTAAGACAGGCTCAGCATCTTTCTTCAACTGCAGCAGTGACAGAACGGCACTGGATATGTTTTTTTTGTTTTGAGGTCCTTAGTTCATATTTTCAGTGTGGCCACTTAACTGTGAAACACCCTGTATATAGTGCTAGAGCATGATATTGGCCTGTTACCTCCTCACACGACTATTGGCCTTGTAACAGTACTTTCTCACATTGTACTGAACCCTTCATGGATTGTTAGTGATACAGGTTTTATATATATATTGTAATGTCAACATTACATGGCATATAAATAGTGGCGCGAAAGTGGCAACACCATGAACTACAGGGAGGAAGTGGGGGAAGCAAGCCTCATGTAACTCAGACTGGGACGGCCGCCAAGAGGGAAGGTGCTAGGGGCCAAGAGAGAAGATTATGAGCCGCCAAGAGAAAATGTGACAAGCTGTCAAGAGAGAAGGTACTAGCCAGCAAGCTGAGAGAACAGAAAGAGCCTCAAAGTTTAGACTGGGACAATAAAGGTTTTTGAATGTATAATTTCTTAATGTATGTATCTCGTTTCATTATATGTATTTAGTAATTTAGTAAATTATAGTTATTAAATGTTGAATGAGTGTTCAGTTGTCCGAACCCAACCTGAGATTTATGTTATAAGTGTTAAAAGAAATAATATATTCAAAAAGTAAACTCTTTGTTTGATTTATGTTGACAAAGGGAACGTAACAACATGTCTCCCTAGCGTGGCTTTAGGGAACGTTACAATATATATATATATATATATATATATATATATACAGTTACATATATATAAAGATAATTACTTTGGAAAAAAAAGAAACTAACTATTCATAAGAAACGGTATTTAAGTGATTCTATGAGCTATCTCCACTAAACCATCGAATTCCTCTCGCATCCAATCCTTACAATCCAAAATCCTTTGTAAAATCCTCAATGCTCCTTACTTTGTCACTAATAAAATTATCCATAAAGATCTTAATGTTCCTTATGTTACAGATCTGGCCCAATCCAGATACCTATCCTTCCATAATAAACTTCAGAGTCATCCCAACCATCTCGTTTCTAACCTTGCTTCCTCTTCAATTCCTGATAACCCTCCGAGGCGTCTGAAAAGAAGATGGCCATGATCTCCTAATGTAGTCATATCATTAGAGTGCTACCATTGGGTAGTTATTCAGCAAGTGTATTCATGTCATTATATCTATTATGTCCAAATTTACTTGATATATTTATGTAATACAGTTGTAAATATCATTAAGAAATTAAAAAAAAAAAAAAAGTGATTCTTGAAGTCCAATTAAATGTAATTAACGAACTATAATACTTTTTAGAGATTTTTGTTCATTAAATGCTGATATATTTTACCATTTTTGGTAGAGTCATCAATCCTCTACGTCCGGTCGGAGTGAGTTGCCTCCAGTAGCCTGATGGGCCTCACATACACGAGGGGGGAAGGAATCTCATATAAGTATGAGCCCGATGGTAGGAGTAGAAGACCCCATGTCAGGTGGAGAAATGTTGTGACTGAGAGTATAGCAGGTCGAGAACTGACAAAGGAGGCAGCAATGAACAGGGAGAAGAGGAGGAACCGACTAAGGGATGAATTTGACTGTGAGAAACTTCAATTTATGAAGAAAATACTCTTAAATAAAAAAAAGAAATGCTAAAAACAAAGTTTCAATTAAAGAGGCTATCAATATTGTTTTATTTATGGGGATTTGTTAGACTATTTTATGATGAGTCTTAGGTTATTTCAAAATATTTAAGTGAAAACATTTTAACTCTTTAAAAAACTTTTTTGGAATTCATGTACCAGTAATAAAAATTGTAATTGTAGACCCTGAGGTCTAAGCAAGACTTTATGATAACATCTTACACTCCAACTCAAGTATGTTTATAGACGATTTTATCAAAATTTCGTCATTGATATTATTGGAGGCAGGAAATATCCAGCCTTATATATAGCCAGAAAATATCCTCAGATATCCAGCCACAATCACAATATATAAAGGTGTCGTGGAGGGTATCCTGAGGTATGTGTCTCCCTTCTGGTTCCGTAACCTCACACTACGACAAAAAAAAAGGCTAGCCTCGACTCAGAGGACAGTTCTGCTTCGGGTCACCAGAGCATACAGGACAACTTCGTATGAAGCGAGGGTGGTGCCTCTCGACCTCCTCCTACTAGAAGAAGTGACAAAATATTCTTATAAGAAGGAAGGCTCTATAGTACTTTCGGACAATCTACAGATGAGGATTATGGAAGCGCCTAATAGATGGAAGAAGATACTCCGGGAGGATACAATTGAAGCATGGAACCGGTGGCGGGTAGCAACTCCTAAAGGAAGTACATTGAGGAAGTACTTCAGGTACTGCTTCAGGCAAAGTGTGTCCTCCCGGACTACTAGATTTCCCAGTTCCTCACTGGGCATGGAGGATTTCGAGCTAAACTTCACGGTCTGGGCATTGGTGTAGATCCTCTATGCCCAATCTGTAGTGTTCCGGAAACTGTAGAGCACATGGTCACGACCTGCACCGCATTTGAAACGTTAAGAGAGACTATGACAAGAGCCGCGGGAATCTATGTCCTCACTGAAAATGAATTTCCTCAGTTAGTCAGCGAGGAAAATTTCCCGCGGTTTAAGGATTTCATATATGGAAGACGGCGGTGGGGCCCGCTCACTTCCATATTGGTGCCCGCAGAAGAAGAGGACAAGCGCCAGGAAGACCTCCAGATTCTGGAAGCTAGAACGAAAGAAGAAGAACAGAAGAACTACACATCATGTTAACAAGTAGTAGTGTGTTATTAAGCATTCATGCCTAATAACACACTATCGCAAACACCCGTATTGCCATAGTGGCATGGGACGGTGGAATATATAAATAAATAAATGGTCATAAAATAGTGGAAATATTTGTCACTATTTAAATTTATTTCATGATCAACACCCCCAAATACATTTTTTCTTCAAATTAATTGTTTTTTTTTTCTTAGTGTGATAAAGGATTGCCTTTATCCTGACAAGCCCTTCTAAACTCATAAATTTGATACTCGTCGACTACCAATACTGATTTCTTGTTGTTTTATTTTTAAAAAATATAGTAGATAGTAGGCTTTTCTACCCAACAGTAGCCACCTCTCCTTTTACTATCCAGACTTTCTTCTCGTTGACTTTATTTGTATCTTCAGTGTTCATTTGAAATGATTATTAGCTACATTATAATGTTGTCAAGATAATAAAGGACATGTATTGAGATAACAGACATTGGATTTTCTGGCACGTTCAACTCCAAATTATTATTTTTTATTTGAAATTCAACCATGAATTAGTCTTGGTGTTTGACAAGTGTCAAAATTACAGAATTTATAAGTGCTTGTCAGGGTTTTCTGTACCAATGGTAGGTGTAAAAGGGATGGATTTGCTTGGTCTCTCTTGCAGATATACCGAATTTGAATGAACTTATTTAGTTTTTTGAGAAGTTGGTTAACATGTATGATCAACAAAACCATAATAATGGCAGTTTCCATGAAAACAGGTCATAAACCACGCTTATGGCACTTTTGTTGACTTGGTCTCTTTTACAGCTCATTCTATGAGCTTAATGGTTCATCAAAGAGAAAAACCTTAATTCACTAATCGATTTAGAATAACTTTCTAATTATTTAGAAAAGAAAGATGCTAAAGAATTATGTGCGAGATTTTTTTTTTCATTAAGTTTGGGATATCAATAAAATCACCAATACGAATGATATACTTATTTTTTTTAGGAGCCTGTTGAATGAATATTTTATGAACCATAAGAAAGAGGGGTATATTTTCATTACAGAAACTTTTAAAAAATTAGAAATATATATTTTATTTCAATAATAATTTGCTTAGATTTTGCCAATTATTTTTGTAGAAACAATAGTTTATCAAACAAAAATAATATGATTGGATTGTTTTTGGTTGTTGTTTTTTTAAGATAGTCACAAAAACATGATTATAAAATTAAAAACAAATTATGTATTTCAAAATGTACACCTCACTTAGCAGTCTAATCCAATAAAAAATGTAAAACAAATAGACAATTAAGTTAGAGAACTAAGTTTTGGGAAAGCATCTGTTTTGCTGAATACAACTTTCTGATGTGAGTGAGATATATATCCTTTAACTTTTCCTTGATGAATTAAGTTAGCGAGAATGCAATTGGCTTCTTCTAATTCTATGTCTGGACTCTCAGAAAACCTTAGAGCTGTCAATAAATCTTCAAGCTGCACCACACTGTTCTTGGTAATTAAAAACCTAATAAAAACAATGAGATTAGAGATATGAGATTCATAATGATTAATTTTTATATGTTACTTTGTTCTTATGCTTAATACCATTCTTAGAAAAACTACAAGCCAAATTAATTACGAAGATTAATTAATGAATTCCTCTGTAAAAGATTATGAGCATGATAAAACGGACTTACACTTTTTTGAAAAGATTCCGATAAGTAACTAGCCTTAAGCGTTCCAAGATAAGGTAGATTCCTGTTTTTATAAAAAATTCCTGATGTACCTCAATAGCTTCAGTCAATTTCCTTGAATTTCCACACCTGAAAAAAATTTATTGTTTTTTTAAATACGTACAATAACTAAATAAATCATTCATAGTACAAGACTCAACAAACCAAGAACATTATTAGGTAAGCCAAAGAAAAAAAGCATTGATAAGAGATTTGCTACAGTGCAGTTGCAAATATAGAATACTTTTGAATTTGAATCCTTCTTAATAGTAAACATTAATCGTATTGAACAAATATTGTAATAAATGCTTAGCCAAACATCAAACAATTAAATATATTAGATAAAGCTAGGTATCAAGCAAGGTCCGATTTATCCTTTGAACCATTAGATATTGTAATATCAGTAAAAGAAAGAATTTGAAGTCATAAAAATGAGAAAAAAAGTTAGAATAGTAAATGAAGGCAACTTCAAATTCTTTTATGTCAAGAGAATTAAAATAGGTGATTAAAGTTATTATAATAACTAAATACTGAAGTGAAAGATATGTTGATGGTGGAACAACGTAAATTTCTACAGGTTTAATTAAGTTTTAAGGAGGAAAATAAGTTAGGAAATCTGTGATATAGTTGTAAACCTGAAGGGTTTGGGTTTGTTAAGCTTGTTTTTTAATGAAATAATGAGCTATAATAAGCTTTTCCAATTCCAAAACTTAAAGATAAAATACTAAGTACATTGAATGTAAATAGAAATTCAATTTCATACCTTACTGCTTCACCAACTTCCCAAAGCTGAAGCAAATCATATTTTTCTAACAAACTTCTTTTAGGTAAGTAACCCTAAAAATTAAAATTAAATTTGATAAAATTAAAAGACTAAAATAAACCATATTAACACAAAGATATAAGAAAAAAATTGTTACCAATAAAATTTTAAGTGGAACCAAATAAATTAAAATCAAATGTTTATTCTTCTTGGACATCTTATGACATGACTGGAAGGCAAAAGTCAAATTTTCATTAGCTAAAAACAAAAGAATTAAAATTATACAGCTATTGAACTTTAATTTATATATTAAACAGGGAATAACCCTCTATCCACCTAAAGGTTGACCAGCCCCATTTTAAAAATTATCCAAATATTAATTAATTGCAGTACTCATTGTTCAAATTGTATAACTGTAATTTACATGTGTTCTGTAGTTCAGATTGTATTATTTTTTATCAACATAAAATAAACGGAACGAAAACACAGTGTACGGGAGAGCCTGAGAATGAATCTCGTAACATGGCAGCAAGTCTAGGGCAGAGAATGCGCGGAGGTAACAGTGTAGATGCAGCATGGATGATAGACAGAATATTTGTTTGTAAATGTTATACATTGTGTTGGCCTGATTTTATATTAAATGCTGTGAATAGTATCTAATATAAATGTTTGTTTTTGTAAATTTTATTTATATTCTTTGATTAGTGTGTTAAATTTATTGTAAAAACCAAAGTGATTAATTTATATTGACACCGTCTTACACGCAGTTGGGACGATTTTTAAATTTCTTTAAAAATCTATATTAATCATCGTGCCTTATTGCCAATTTGTAGTCATAATGAGGGAGAAACAATTCTGGGAATAATAAGTAGGTGTCTTTGTTATAGTCCATCCCGCGTTGTATATGTAAAAAAAAAATATGACAGTCACTAAAAACTTTTTTATATAATGGAGAGATATAAGTACGTATAATAGATAGAAAAAAAAATTGTATATTTGGTCAGAAAATCATCTCATAGACAGAGTAAATATATTATTTTTTATAGATAAAAACACTTTTACAAGAATATTTTATGTCTCGGTTTTCATCTGTTGAACCATCCACCATATAGTCCAGACTTGGCTTCAACCAATTTTCATGTTTTTAGTCATAAAAGAGGAGTTGCGAGGAAATCATCAATTTGATGAAGAGGCCATTGAAGAGTTGCAAAATTTTCTCCGAATCAGGCTGAAAACCTTCTTTCGGAGTATTCAATAAAGTATTCAAATGCTCATTAGAAAAAGGACTAAATGCATAGGGAAGCATCATTATATTGAAAAGTAACGCAATAATCACTTATACACAATAAATATACAGGTTTTTTTTTTCAATTTTCTTTTACTTTTTGACTTACCCTTATATAATAATACACTAAGAAAAACAAATTTACTTGATTAAAAAAAAAAAGTAATGAGAATAAACTTCTGGAAAACAAAGTTTAGTACTTACCTAAATTATAGTCACTGTCGAACATGGCCTTCCTTCCAACATAATAGCGATATGTAACTTGTTGGCTAAGAGGAAATTTTTCCTTGAGTGGAGAAGAATCTATGGCTCTAATTAGTGGCTTCATTAAATGCAACTTATTGATTCGGAAGTATAACTTAAACAATTGATTAACCAGTGACAACATCCCCCACCTTTTAGTATCTTGCTCAGAAGAACGGCTGAAATAAACAAATTACAATTAATTGTGTTAGGTATAAAGCATAGATTGATGATGAATTTCAACTCCATTTTGTTTGCAAATTTTTAATATATATATATAAAGTCATTTACTAGATTTTTTAAATATCTAACAGCATTTAATGTCGATGCTTGCACTGGAGAAGGAATGATGTCAATCCAAGAATTATTTTATAGACAGAATTTACTTTAAGATAGCTTGTGCAAAACATATAAAAAACTAATTATGTAATAGTCAGCCTATTGGTAATTAAGAATAGAGAGGAAAAATTCAAAAATAATAAAAGCATTAACAGTTAGTAATTGCCTTATTTTTTTCTTTTTTCTGCCAAACCATCTTATTCTTGACAGAAAAATTATTCTTAATTAAAATAGGATAAATATTTCATTCAAAATATGATCAAAGGAAAACGAAAGATATTAATTTATTTTTTTAACACAAAATTTAAATATTAGTGCGATCTTGGCTAGAGATAAAATCGGAATAATTAAGTTGGCAAATTTGAAGCACTTACTTAATATAATTGAAAAATAAAAGCATTAAAGTAGCTAGTGAATTAAATGGTTGGATTTTCAATTGTGAAATCAAAGAATCAAAACCAGTTAACATTATTCCGTATGTTTTCTGAATAACAAAATAATAATAAAAAGAAATCAAAAACAGCATTGACACCGTATGAATGAATACTACAATTGGCCCGATAGGTCATGGTTCTGTCAATATGGATACCTAATACTTGAGCTCCAGTTAATCCAACTTTTTCATGGAATCTAATTCGTGCCATCCCCATGAGGTCATTGTAATATGGTTTGACTATATTTCATCCTACAAACTAATTAGTGTTAATAATATTCACTAACTTATCAGAGGAGCATATCCTAAAGCAAGTCATCAATGTCTCTGCTGCTTTCTCCAGAGCTTCACGAGGTTTGATTGCACTGTTATGACTCCCTTTGACTGGAAGAGATTCAACTTTTCCTGCAATCAATCTTAGTTCCAGGCATATTGTATTCATTACAGGAAGAAGCCAGTTTTCTTCTTTGTAGTACTGAAATATTCTAATGAAAACTTGAACCGCATTGCTTTGTTCATTATAAGCCAGAGCTGCATCTCCTTCTGATATTGCATGAATGCACCTGAAATCAGTAAAAGTAAAGTTTGATTTAACAAGAAATTAGATCTCATCTTAATAAAGCAATAACTTGCAATACATCCAAATAAAGTTTTGAAAACACTACTGATCCAGAAAATTGAGATACTTTTCATTTTATATTGAATATTTTTTTTAAATAATTAAACATTGTACCAGTTTTCTTTTTTTTTGGGTTCTCCCCTTCCTCGCCGTTAAGGCTATACGGGGTATTCCCGGGCCAGGGAGTGTGGGCGGGGATTTAAAAGACTCCGTCGGCACCGGGACGCGAACTCGTGACTATTTTATATCATTTGATTGATAAGTCAGGTTGCTGGGCAACGGCGGTGCTGTGCACACGCGTTAGCCCATTCGGCCACCCCGCCCACAAAGAATATATAGTGGAACCCGGTATTGAACTGGGGTCCTTCACAATCATATTACAGAATGCTAGCCACTAGACTATAGAGACAATTATTGTACCAGTTTTCAATTGATTTTCTATATTATGTGATATGAATTAAGATGAGGTTTCAAATTTTTAAGCATCTATATTCAACATTTTAGGGAATTTTTCCTCACACCAGTGAATTCTAAAAATGATCTTTGAATTTAATATCTTAAATAACTTATTTAATGTATTGAATATAATAAACTCAGCCCTACTTCACAATACAGCTGGTCCTCTTGGGAATTTAGACCATTACCCTCTTAATTAGGGGAGGCCTACAGATTGTAAAATACTTGTAAGAACAGGCTTACCAAAAAAAAAAAAAAAAAAAAAAAAAAAAAAAAAAAAAAAAAAAAAAAAAAAAAAAAAAAAAAATGAAAACTTAAAAGGATATAACTACTATAATTTATTGAAAATCTCTACCTTATGTGGGCGCACATAAGTTCACCAAGATACTCATCAATGTATCCGGGTATATTATTTTCAGGTTTAGCAGTCCATATATTTTTGTTATAAGCATGAGGATGTCTCAGTGATAGCCATTCCTACGAGAATAAAAACAAAATAAATCAATAAAAAAATTTTTAAGACAACAAAAACTAGAGGAATAAAAAATATTTACCGCTAGCATAGTACCATTTTTCTTGTTCCAATAATTATTCACCTGATAAAAACAGTAAAAAATAAATACACATATACACATAAAGAAACTAATCAGCTTCATATAATATTTTTCATATTATAACTTAAAGGGAAAAACTATAGAGGTGAACTACATTGACCAATGCATTTTCATTTATATTATTATTATATTTTATAACATACCTATTTTATTCTACCACACATACCTCCCTTTTAGAGCGCTGAAGGCATATGGAGTGGGCCAATAAAACCGCAGATTCGATTGTAAAACACTTTTAATTTTTTTTTTTATTCTTCCCTTCCTTGCCTTTTAGGCTGCATGGGATTTTTCCTGGGCCAGGAAAGAGGGCAGGAGAATTGAGCCATGATAAAAATCCCACTGGGCACCGGGATTTAACTCTTAATTATTTTTCTATCTCGAACTTCGGTTATCAGGTTAGACCACTCGGCCACCTCGTCGATTATTTTTTAACTGCACTGCAAATTGTCATCTTAGATTTAATCCAAGTGCAACAGCTTGGAGGTTTACTGCTTTGTAAATCTTTCACAGCACACGTTTTAATGCTTACATACAGAAGTAAAAGTTTCATCATACTCCACAAGCATATTAGACAAATAATGGGAACAGAAATGAAACATCTGTGCGGAGTGGTCAGCAAAAGTAGGAAAGACCACATCACAATTAAATTATTATATTGAACGTAACAGCTCAAGAGGTTTGGACATGTCTGTTGTCTAGATGAAAAATGTCAAAAAAAGGCCTCTAGCCCTTCTAGCAAGAGATCCCAAGAATCCTCAACTAGAAGTATGTGGGAAGAATAGGAGCAAGTAGAGAGAAAACTCAAATAATATGGATGTGCCTGGAACAGGCTTTCAGGATTGATCGGCTCATTTGCATTAACATAATACTTAACAATTCAAACCTCATATTTTCTTATTAATGAGACAAAATTGAAACAAGGTAAAATCGGGAGCAATTATTTTTTTTAAATGGGTTAGAAAACTCTAAACTTGAATTATATAAACTTGAAATTAGTAATAAATGATAAGCATACCTGTTGACAATACTGAACTATAGACATGTCATTCAGCATTTCCAACTAAACTGCTTTTGAAAATAAATAAATTTGTATTTCGTTAATAAAATCAGTATTTAACGAACAGACTTTTAAAAATCCATTATTATTATTAATATAATCTCCACCAATTATATAATATATAGTTAAGTCTTAAAATGTTTGAGCATAGATTCCAAAATAGAAAACTCAAACAGCCCTCAGAGCTAAATACAAACTTGAAACCTACCGGCTTGGAAACATACAAATATAAACAACAAAGAGGCCGAAAATAAGAGGAACGAAAAAAAAACAACTTTAACTTCCTACTTTACTGCTTTGATTAACAGATAGTTTGTTAGAACAGCAAGAATTTTTTATCGCTCACAAATATTCAATCCAAACGGCATATCTTTCAATCTAATTCCGTTTGGTCATAAAAAACCAAAATGTGATAAAAAGATGGAAGGGAAATTACAGAGTTATTAAATGTAACTAACGCAACTGATCCAAATAGTAAAGATGATAGTGAAAATAGTAATTAAAGCTCCTGAAAATAAAAATGATGAGAATCAAGAAACCCAATCCGCGGTAATGAAACACACTAGTAGAAATATAAGACGGCATTAGAGCTCTACAAAATTGTAAAGCACATTTAAAGATAAAATCGTAGCAGAACTAATTAAAAGTAGTAAATTTAAAAAAGTTAGCAAAGAATCTTGTTCTAACTATCGAGGTATCACATTATTAGAGGTGCTATATAAATTTCTATCTAATGCCATAATGAGAAAGCTCAACATTTACACTGAAAAGATTTTGGGTGAATACCAATGCGGCTTCCGAAATGGAAGGGACACAACAGATCAAATTTTCGTCTTAAGACAAACTATGGAACCATTTTTATGAATATAGTTGGGATCTTCGCCTTCTATTTGTAGACTATAAACAAATATTCGATAGTGTGAAGAAAGAGCTGCTCTATTCAGCATCCTCGAAGAACATGGTATACCTGCGAAACTTATAAGGCTCATAAAAATGACACTAAGAGATACTGCTGCCAAAGTTACTGCTGTGATTGGGAACAAAGTGGGTGATGCATTCGATGTTGTCTCTGGAATAAGGCAGCGCGACGCATTATCGGCGACACTGTTTAACTTGGCCACACATTCGGCAGTTAAAGATGCAATTAAAGCTGGAACGCTAGCCAATAAAATCTGGCAAATTTGCGCGTATGCAGATGATTTGGTTGTGGCCAGAAACGAAGCAGCAGCTTTTTACAATCAGCCTTCGAAATGATTGTAAAAAGAAGTAGCAGGGTTGGGCTCATGCTAAATCGAGAAAAAACAAAATATATGCTATTAAAAGCCACAACTAACCACAGAAACAACCGCATCTTCCTTCTCAATTATAAGTTTGAAAGAGTGTCCAGCTTCGCTTACTTATGCTCAATAAATATAGAAAACAAGATCAGCCGTGAAATATAAAATAGAATAATGGCCGGAAACATGGTGTATTATGCGAACCTGAAACTCCTCAGATCAAAGATTCTTTCTAGGAAGATCAAACTATAGCTATATATAGGTCTGATCAAGCCGGTTTTTTCCTAGGAGTCGGAAACTTGGTGCCTACCATCGACAGACTGTCAAAAACTGATAGTTTTTGGGGGGCGAATTATAAGAAGGATATACGGAGCTGTACAGATTGATGGAAATTTGAGGATCAGGAGCAATGCAGAAATTGCAGCCATTCTGAATAACCAAGATATAGTTAATTATATAAAAGCAGGTAGGCTGCGATGGGTAGGTCATGTTGCCAGGATGAACGAAGAGAGGGTTCAGAAGAAGATGCTAGACATGGCCATCATTGAAAAAAAAGAGAAAAGAAGAAGACCGAGGAGCCGGTGGAGGGATGCTGCAAAGTTTGGTGTCGTGAATTGGAGGAGTGCAGCCAAGGACCGTGGAGAGTATATATTCCGAAAGGCCAAGGGTCACAAAGACCTGTAGAGCCGGGGAGTAAGTAAATAAGTAAAAACCAGGTAGGTTTATCGCTTTCAAAAATGTGTAAAATTATAAATCCAATATTCTTCAATGTAACCGATAATTTTAAGTTTTCCACTTGTTTCAGGAACATTTAGATGGTTTAAACTCAGCATTTTAGTATATACCTAAACATATTTTCAACATAACCACTTTAAATTTTAAGTGCATAAGCACACAATTTTAAATTGTGAAGTATTGAACACCGCTTAGGACCTTCCTGGTATTTGTTACTTTAACAGCAGAGTTATTGAGTTTTGTTGAAATATCAGAACTTTATTTGGCACTCTAGTTTTTGTTGCAGGGATGGGTACTTTCCATACAATTTCCTTTAATTACTCTTTGTTTATAACTATTGGAAATTCATATAAGTATGTTGAAATGGAATAATATAAATTCAAAAATAACAAAATATGAATATAAAATCATTTTTTTAAATTTTCATTTTTACACCAGTTTATACAATATCTTTCAAATATTCCCCAATCTTTGCATTTTTGTTCCACTTTCTTGTAATTTATTCTTTTGAAATCCCCATAAAAGCATCGACTTCATCATTCTTTTCACTCTTGATATTGTCACTCTGCTAATTTGTTACTATTTATTCTTTAATTGTGATTGCCGTCAGGAAATGGTTCTAGCAACTTTCTCAAGCATGCACATATCGGTACTGAATATCGGAGGGATGAGGGATGCTTCTGATAAGTGGCCTTATTATCCTTTTTACAATGAAAACCTCTTTCTCCAAATTGAGTCTCCTCCGTATTCCTCGTGAAATATAAAAGGAACGAGGAAGCCCTATGTTCCTGAATTCAATGTGATCTTTATTATATTATGTGATCGGTTGTATTATGCGATTTTTGGTAACTGCCCACACAAAAGGTAAATTTTATTGGCTCGATTCCAGTAGTTCCTCGTATTTTTATGATGTGATTCAATGAAAAGTCCAAGTTTTTGACCTGGAGCAAGAATGCAATATTATCGGGGAAAAAACGATTTTTAGTGATTTTGATCCTAAAGTGCTAGTATTCAATTGAAACTACGCAAATATGTTTTCAAAGTAGAATAAATTTGTTACAATTTGATTATATAATCGTTCTATAGACTTGATAGTTTCCCAAAACAAAGGTGCCTAGAAGAGTGTTGTATGGAATAAGTTGCGCCCTCTAAATTTTTGAAGTGGGCTCATTTTTCCAGGATTTTGAATTTTCGAAGGGTTACACGTATGTGGGATTATGAATTTTTAGAGGGAGCCATATTTTTGTGGGATTTCAATTTAATTACTTTCAAACCAGGGAAAACGGGAACAAACAAAGGAATTATATGTGATAGAATTGTTATAATTTTACTTTCACTTGCTACTTACTTACTTCGCCGCCACTACAGTCTCAGGTTGACTTTGGCCTCCCGTATAGTTTGATTCCATGCCTCCTGATTCAATGCCATCTGTTCCATCCAGTGATTCCAATCCTTGAAATATCCTCCTCTAGGTCTTCCATCCATAGTCTCCTAAGGCGTCCTCTTTTTCTTTTACGTGACACATTCTCTCCCATTATTCTCATTGTCATTCTATCATCTTCCATTCTCTGCACATGAACAAGCCAGCTAATTCTTTGTGATTTTATGAACCATAGATATTTTCATGCCTTATCAATTCTTCCAGCTCGTGGTTATTTCTAATGCGCCACACGCACGACGCGAACTGGACCAAAAGTACGTCAAAATATTTTGAAGTGGGCTCATTTTTCCAAGATTTCGAATGTTTGAGGGGTCACACTTACGTGGAGTTAAGAATTTTTAGAGGGGACCATATTTTGGAGGGATTTCAATTTAGTTACTTTCAAAACAGGGAACAAGGGGAGAAACATGTACCAAACAAAGGAAGTATATATGACAGAATTGTTTTAATTTTACTTTCACTTGCACTATTTATATAAAGAGGAGAGCAATCTATATGGAGTAGAGGAGGCTTGAGCCCAAGACTATGGAGGGTATGAGTATACCTGTTCCAAAATAAAAAATTTTTATGTTTTGTAGGAAATTCCATCCAATCAGCCATTTTCTTCAGATTGTCCTCCTCCCATATTTCAATGGGCATTGAAGTTTTAGGAAACCCACAAATGAACCACCTCTACATTTTTAATACCTCTTATTTATAGCTTTCAGTGCATTTGCCTGGAGGAAGTTGATGTTGACCTTACAAGGGCTCAGCCCCAAGATAGGAGCAGTGGCATGTACACAGCTCCAAAACACTTCTTGTTTGTTGGAATGCTCTTTAGTCTACGCGAGGGCCTCCAGAAAAATGACATCACATTAAATAAAGGTTTCCACTCTCTAGAAAGTGTCAATCTCACTATATCAAAATGCTGTAGGATATCTCACAGAAGAAATCGACAATTATGCTGCAGGTTCCTGAGAAACTGATGATGCTCAACTGGGGACTCCGAGAGGACAAAGTCTTCTGTTTTTATTATAATTTTTTTTATTGGACCTTCCAAAAGAATAGTTTTGTAACACTGTAAACTATTATGGTAATTGTTTACATTTTGACTGATATTAAAATGAGCATTCATAATTCAATTTCTTCCATCCCCACTGTTTACAAGCTGTATTTCAGAAACTTTTAGGTCTACTGGCATTAATAGATTCGAATTGTAGCACATTTACTCTAATTTGAAAACATACCAACATGGATTTATCAAAAGCAAGTTACTTAGGTTAAAAATCACCAATAAAAGAAGAACATTTCCTTCTTATTTTAATATTTGAGAATGTTTGACAATATAAAATTAAAACTTAGATCATTTATTAGGCAACACTATAAACAATGCAGAAAAAAATCAGTTAAGTTCGCCCTCTATCAAACATTAATGTTACTGGACTATATCTACTAGAAGAAAAAAAAAGGAGTTCTTAAGTTACCCACACTAATTATCAGTATTAACATGTAATAAAAAAAATAATGCATCATACATTTTATGCCAGTAAATCTAAAAAGATGAATTCAATAGAATAAAACATAACATAGTTCATAGTGTTAAGATGTTACAGAGGAAAAGTGTATTTATACTAGGGATATCATGGCCTATTAAAAGTATACATTGTGAGACAAGACAACACTACTAAAGTGTATCTCATGAAGCCAGCAGCGAACAGAAATAAGTAATCCCTATGAGATTTATTTTAAATTTATTATAAGAAAACAAATGATTTTTAACAGAAAAATTAAAATTATTTCACAACAATAAATAAAGTCCTTAAATAAAACTTTTTCTTGAAGGTACATATCTACAGATGACAATCGCTATTCAATTATCGATATAAATGATCAGCATGGATATTAGAGGCAATTTCAGACTCCCATTTATCTCCATTACTGAGAAGCTTTTCTTTGTTATACAACAATTCTTCATGTGTTTCTGTGGAGAATTCAAAATTTGGACCCTGAAATTAAATAATTTAAAAAAAAAAACATTAATAAAAATCATGATCATAAAAAACTTATAACAGAAACAATTTATTAGAAAATTCATCAGCAGTGAGAAATATTTTCTACTAAACCAAGAAATAGATTATGTTCTCTCCCTCCCGTTCTCCCCAAGCAAATAATTCTACACGAAAATGATAAAAGGTGGTTTGAATATATTTTGCCAATATAAAAAATGCGGGTTTTCAGATATCTGAAACTCGGGAATAGTTTAATAACTTAGAGCATTGAATTTTACACCAATGAACTCCAATAAGAGAAGAGTACTAAATTTTCACTCGCAATAGACTTAAGAGAGCAGTTTTAAAACTCCAAAATGCTACTGTTCTAGTCAGATTCTTCTTATAGTTGTCTTATGGACTTGGTGGTATAAATAAAAATTTTTTGTATCATCGTTTGGGGATTTAATGTCTTTTAAAAAAAAAAGTGATGATAAACAAGTTTTTTACACATTTGGCTTATACAAATTTTATTTATAATGATGCAGAGATCGTTGACCGTGATATGATATGAAAAGGAGTAGGTCAGTATAAAAATATAGCAATATACAGTATTAAATATAACAATTAAAAAGACTATTTTTTAAAAATTTAGTATTTATTTGAACTCAACTCCCCACCAACTTCTCAAATTTTATTTATAAACAAGTTGAGATGATATTTAGCATGTCTATTTGTTTTAGAGAATTTAAAGTATTTTCTATCAATAAAAAAACTACTAAGAAGTGTCCTGAAAAACAGTATAATGTCCTGGTTGAATGCATTGGAAAAGAAAAAAAAAAAAGAAAAGGAGCTAAAAATTGTCAGTTGTAATATGAATTGAACGAAGGCAAAAAATAATGTTCATTAATCCTATTACAAGTCTTGTAAAAAGATTCTGAAGCAACTATGGATTAAAAATAAATAATGAAAAGCTCAATAATAAATGGTTTTTATGGTATTTTCACTGTCTATATTTTTCTTAAAGGACAAAAAACTTTTGCCAATGTTGTTAATGAACTGAAAATTTAAGAGAGAGCAGTATAGGTCTAAGTAACAAGTCATTGAAATACAATATGTGAATACTACCTCTACAATAGCATCTACAGGACAGGCTTCTTGACAAAAACCGCAGTAGATACATTTAGTCATATCAATATCATATCGGGTAGTCCTTCGGCTACCATCGCTTCTTTCTTCAGCTTCTATAGTGATTGCCTGTAAAATATAGACATTTTAAGAAAAACATTAAGATCATTAAAGGTGGAAATGAAAAGTGGCCTATTTAGTTCAGCCGTAATTACTTTTTAAAATTATTTTTAATAATGAAAAAAATAAATAAATAAAATCAAATAATTATTATTTACAGACAAAGTTGATTTTCTTTATATAGAGATATTTGAGAAGCTCTAAAACTAAACAGAAAGATTGATCTTTAGGAACAATCAGTAGAGTTGAGAAAAAAGTGGAACCATTCGGAAAATAAATAATTCTCCTTATTAACAGATTGAAATATATTATATGTTTCAGGTCTAATAACATATTTTAAAAGCATATTACTATCTATATGATTTGTTAAAGCCCAATATTCTTATAAATATAATAAAACTCGACACTTGAAATCTTAAAATAAACATGGCAATACGGATTAATTTCACAGCACTTGATAGAAAAAAGTGAAAATTACCTGAGCAGGACATATTGCCTCACATAATTTACAAGCAATACATCTTTCTTCTCCAGAAGGATACCTTCTAAGAGCATGTTCTCCTCGAAATCGTGGACTGAGAGGCCCTTTTTCAAAAGGATAATTGATTGTTGCTGGCTCCTTGAATAGATGACCCAGAGCAACAAGATGACCTAAAACAAGAAAGTTTAATAAAAAAAACTTATAGAGTACTTTTACTGTAAACACAAAATAAATTGAAGAGATGTTGGTTGGGGTATTCAGTCAAAAAATAACGAAGTAAAAATAAATAAATTATATTTATTTTTGCTGATGTTTCGGCCCAAGGTTCTGGCTTTCATCAGGGCTGTTTCCATGGGGTGCCGCAACAGGCCTGGTGAAGAACTGAACCTTGGGCCGAAACATCAGCCAAAATAAATATATGAAGAGAAGAATGGTTGGGGTTACCAGTCAAAAAATTATAAGTATATTTATTTTTATAAATTTGTATATTAAAAATAATTATTTCTTTGACTGATCACCTCAACCATTCTTTTCTTCAATTATTCGATACAGTCAAACATTAATCCAAAATTAAAAATAAATATAATTTATTTATTTTCACTTTGTTACTTTTAGACTTAACACCTCAACCAACATCTCTTCAATATATCTAGGACAGTCAATTATTAATCCACTATCAAAAAAATACATGTACACCAATCTATAAAAGTGATTTTGAGAACTTAAAAAATTTAAAAAGAAACTAAGAACGTCTCGAGATGCTTACATATTCCAACTTTTAATAAAAAATCTGGCCTTTTTTAACAGCAATATAAAAACAAATTTAATAAATAAAGAGTAGGCACATAATGAAATAAGCACTGATCTTTCAGAAATACTGAAAAAATCATATGAACAATAAGTTAATAATGAGCATCTATATATGAACTACAGAGGTAATTAAGTTGTGGAAAATCAGTAAATATTACATTGATTTGAAAATTTATTAAAGGGCAATTTACTAACAGAAATCTGGTACTTTACATTATATATCAATCTTTATCATTTACAGGCAATCAATTGGAATATCTTATCTGGCAATGCAGATCATTGACAACAAACGTGAAACACTCCAATATAAATTAAAAATTAGCAGTTTTTTTAAAATTATGCAAGATCTTTATACCTCGAACAATTTCAGTCCAGAAGATAGCAACTGCAGCTCTGTCTGTTATGTCTTTCCATTCCATTGATGGTTCCTTATCATTTACATATACATACTTTGTTCGCCTCTGAAAACTGGGAGCAGTACAGGCAGCAGGCCTTAACAAAACAGGGGCTAGAAAAAAGTTTAATAAATAAGAGGGTCTATTTTATCACAGCCACATTATTTTATAAATGTCACATAAGCTCTCAACATAATGATTTAAGAAGATGAATATTAAATAGGTTCATTTGATGGGAACGTAAGCATGTTAATTACCCTTTTTGGCTAAATTAAAAAGTTTCATTGCAGCCATAATGAAGAATCAAGATAATAAAACTATAACCTAGGGAAGGTTATAACTGAAAAATTAAGATTTTAAGAAAACAGCTGTTCAATATCGATTATTATCTCATCAATAGCATAGCATAGTTTTGTCCAGAGATGGATACGATGCAATCGATGGAGAACTTGTCCTGAGTTCCCAAACTTAGCGCTGAGCTCATAGATCGCATCAGCGTGTTATGTTATTTATCGATTGAATCACCGATGGCTAAACGGTTCTATTGGCTTTTGGGTTCGATGAAGCGGGCAAATCCCTAAACTCAGCGCTGATTCCATCAATCGATTATCCAGCACCAAAAGACAACGATTAATATTGAGTTTGGACAAGATCCCAAGCTCATCAATGGTTTCATTTCGCCCATTTTCAGACGAATAAAATGCTATTGAAAATTTCAGTGCGTGTTTGGGTTAGCTGCGACAGGAGAATATTCATACATCTGCATCTTTTCATTTTTACGTAAGATTTTATCATATTAACCACGGAAAAGTATCGGAGAATGTAGAGGTCATCTTACTACCTCAAACCTTTAAATAAAAATATGTAATACATTCAATGGCTTTGTTAACATATTTTCAAATATACCCATAACTCATACACAAAAAAAAAACTAATTTATATCATTTTTTTCATTTATAATATTATATTGTTCGTTTTACAATAATTGTGTTGATTATGTTCATTGTCACTCTCAATATAAGCTTCCGAGACTTTTTATGGAGTATCCATCGCTCCCTCCTCCCAACAAGAATGAAAAGTGCGCCTATGGCTCCATCCTACTGTAACGCTTTTAACCTAAGCTTATTTAATTTACAATTATATTTTGTTAAAAGGAATTACACACACAAAAAAAATGAATCAGTGAAGGTGTTTTGGTATTTGGGTGAACCAATTTCGGTGATTGCACCGAAAGGACTATTAAGGGAGGGGCGATGGATACCCCAAAAAAGGTTTCGGGCATTTATATTACGTACAACAATTAACATACCAAAATACATTGTAACATAATTGAAATAACACATAGTAAAATGAAGAATATAATTCTATATATAAAAATAAAATTATATATATGGTAAATATCTTTTTTTGTGTATTGATGTGATGATGATTAAAAAATGTCATAAATATAAATCGTATTCGTATTCATATTTTTGAATATAAATATGCCCATCTCTGCTGGAAAACTGTACATTTTAGGGCTTTAAAAGGCAATAACTTAATCTTCAAAAAATTTAGAATTATCCTTTAATTTATGTATTAAAGGATAATTCTAAATTTTTCACAAATTATGAAAGTAGTTTTCTAAAATCATACGTGTAAAAATGATAAATAATATTTTATAACACTTCTTTGAAAACAATATCAGAAGCAATAATACATAAATTACAAATCTTTGTAAATAATGGTCCGATTTTCCTGTTTTTTTTTTTGTTTTTTAATGTTTTGTAGGGAATTTAGTACATTTTCTAATAATAGTGGGTCTAATCAAGAAAAATATGTATACTTATTAATTAAAGCAAATACATTTTCTTTTCATTCATAACTTGTTTCCCTGATATTTTGGGTGGATGGATGATTCGTCACTGCTCCATTTAATACTCTTTCGTTTGATACCTCATTCATTAAAATACATCACTCGTGAGAGCTGGAAAAGATATCGTTACGGCAAAAAACTGTCATATTGTATTATAAGAAGAGTTAATGTTGCGAGATGATGGTATTTATTTCGATATATATTTATTTCGACACTTAAAATATTGTTATCTGACTTTTCTTTGATAGTCCGGAACAAAAGGAGGCAACATTATGCTTTCTCTCTTGGGAAAAAAATCTTGTTTCCGGCCCTGCCTCATACCATCTGTTATAGATAATTTATTTAAGGTGTCTGATATACAGGAAGGGGTTTTTATATTGTTAATTAAATTTAGTGACGCCTTTGGTGGAGGGCGTTTTGTTGAATAGCTTGTATTATCCTGGGACCAAATAGAACTATTACGGCTACAAAAGTTGGTAAATACAAAAAGAGACCCCCGTTGAAATGGTCTTGCCATAAGCCGAGGTAGTGACAAAAGTTTCCCGTTAGGATGCGCCCTCCTTCCGAAAATCGTCCTTTCATCGCCCTCTCTTCTGCCAGGGCGCACATTTCATCAGACACGGCCGACGAGGGGGACCCGTCGCCTACTGCCCTACATCCCGGCTCCCACCTATTATGTATCAAGTGTCACTAGAGAAATTTATATCCTATTCACTCCTTCAATTTTATATAATTAACCACAGCTTACATTTTCTACTCTTTTTTTTTTTAATATAGTAAATGCTCCAGTAGCTGCCATGCATAAGGAAATTTCTTTGAACTTTTATATGTAAAATCTTAAATATTTATGTTATTGCATTTTTCTTGTATTCGTCTTATAGAATTACTTCTCACCGTACCAAGACACAATTTAAAATCGTTGAAACAACCATCTTAATTCTAAAAAATTGTAAATTTCGACAGTAATTCAGTTGCACCAGTAGCTGACACTTTGATTTGGCATGTTCCTATAGCTGACTGACATGAGAATATGGAAATAATTATGGGGGATAAAATGATGAAATTTTACATTCTGCATTTTTAAATAGATATTAACGAAAATTACCTTCAATTAATTAAAAAACTAACTTTATTTCATTTCCGGATTTAAAGTTATCGATAAATATTCGTCGTTCTCAAGAACCTGTTTTTTTAGCAATTGGAAAATTTTGTTTTTGGTATAGATTTAATCCAAATCTCGGTTTTTTTTTAACGAGGAGGTTGTAGTCCGTTGTACAGACCCTTTTTTTATCAAATGATCAACGTTCGGTTGAAACTTCGTAAATAGCTTCATCTCATCGTAACCTACCAATATTTTATTTACGAAAATTCTCGGAATGGAGGCGTTTTCAAAATGGAGGTCGGCAAACTTTGTGTATTTAATTAGGTACTAGAAACACGTAAATTTCCATTTTCTTTCCACTTTAATCGTAAGATAACTTGAGCACAATGGAAGCTCAAGGAAGATGGCTCGAGAAAAAAGGTGGTCATCAACAATATTGAGCCGTTTAGCGTGACCTACACCCCCAAATTATCAAGAGGTTATATAGGCCAAACGGCTCAGTATTTTTGAAGGCCACCTTTTTTCTTTTTTCTCGACATTTTCCTCAAGTTATCTTACGATTAAAGTGGAAAGCAAAGGGGTACTAACGAGTGTTTAGTACGTTAATTAAATAGACAAAATTTGCCGACTTTCATTTTGAAAACGCTCCAATTTTTCTAGGATTTTCGTAAATCAAATATTTTTTGCTTACGATGAGATGAAGCTATTTACGAAGTTTTAACCGGATGTTAATCATTTGATAAAAAGGGGTCTGTACCACGGACTATAGTAAATGTCCCCTTTTTAAGATCTGTTATATTAAGTATAAGTCTTATACTTATTATAATTTATGAGAGTGCAGCCCTTTCAGCTACTAGCAAAAAGCCCCATAATAAGGCATCAGTAGCTGACACCCGTTCAATTTCTAATTCCTTCATCAAGATAAGTTATAAATAGATGAAACATAATTTAAAAACACTATAAGAAAAGAAAATTTGGTATAAGTCAAAATAGATAAAGATAAAAAGGCCAACGTAAAGTATGGTGTCCTTATTGATAGATGGTTGTTCCTGGGATACTAAGTGGACAGTGAGGGACCTTCCTAATTTTCCACTCATTATTTCGGTTACGGTTTCTGGCAAAACTAAAGTAAAGCAGACATGGAGAAAATATTGAAACTAAAAATTTATGATATAGAGGTCTTAGAGGTCCTGAAATCCTTGTATTCCCATTTTTCGAGGAAGATATCAGGAATTGGTTCACTGACAGCTGTTTGTGCTTTTACCCAAAAACCTTTTAACTTAAAGTAGTTTTCTCCAATGAGAACTCTCATATTTGATAGATACTCCTCTCCCAAATGCATTCAATGTATAAGCGATATCAGCGAAGCATCTTTATTCGTGTATAAAATTATCAAGATAGTTTATTCGACATTAGATTTATAGTAACAACTTACTTGCTAAATGATTACATTGTTCTATTGGAAAACATCCCTCCAGTTTATTAGTTAGGCAATAAGACACAGCTCTTCCCCCCTTTTTTCCCCCTCTGCCTTGCTTTACAGGCAATTGTAGTAGCAGCATTGGGGTATAACACAGGGTATAACATTTATTATTTATAATTGTTATTATGGAAACTGAGATGTAGGCTTGTTTTAAAACGCAGAGCCCGATAGTTCCTTTAGACTGCAGTAGAGCTTTATGATCCTGTAATAATCTTTAAAATAAAATTTATACCGTTTCGGTTTCGATTCGTTGTCATTGAAACTGTCTGAGTTTTAAACCTCAAATTTTTCGGACGACTTTTATTAAATATTTTTAATGAATTTAAGGATAGAAATAATAATAATAGTGCTTTATTTATTCTGGGACAAGTCCCTTTAGAATAATGTACTAAGATAGAAATGTGGGCTTTGGAGCCTCAGAGAATAATTACAAAATAAACAGATTTATATAATGAATAAATTAAAGAAAAGAATATTATTTACTCTTTAACTTCAATTAAGAGAAAAGTATTTAAAACAAACAATTTCATAAGAACTGAACGGATAAGAGGTGATTGAACAGGCGGGATTCAAATGTGAGGAGGGTATTGGAGCGACGGATGTAGGATGGGATAGAATTCCATAGGGATGTGGATCGAATGATGAATGATCGTGTATACAAATCTGAAGACCGGGAACAAGTTTTGCGGGAGTGAACAGAGGATTTGAATTGAAGGAGCTCGGAGATGTATGAAGGACAGTGGGATTGGATAACGTGAAAGAGGATGGATGCTAGGAAATACTTACATCGGTAGGAGGGATGAAGCCATTTCAACTCTTCATAATAACAGGAAATAGAGGCGTCCCTTGGAATCCTGAAGATGAATCGTACAATTTATCTAGGACTAG